ATGATGATCCTTATATGGCTCTATGAAGACAATGTGACAATCTACAGAGCTCTCCCCAGGATATCTGATCATAATGATGAAGACTGTGAAGACTTGCTTCTGGAGTTACATATCATTATAGACTGAAGGCCTTTGGGTTGTTTGACAGTAAGTAAAATGAAGTACTTACACTTATATATTTCTATATACATACTGATGATACTTTAAATAATAGTTCATGCCTTTGAGCAGGGATACTAGTTCTACATCGCGATTATAATTATCGCTGGAGCGAATAGATGCTCTGCCTCACTTTTATGAATGGATCATCAACTCTTAAGTCAAAACTGCCTAAATGAATTAAAACAAATGCAAAATTATATTACATTTCTATAATGCAAAATTTTATTCCTTCAACTTGAATGTTATTTTATTATTATCATTTTAAAACAGGAGTGATATTACAAAAAAGTAGCATTGAATTTAAAAGAAACAATCAATGTAAATCTATCAAAACAAAAAGGCAAACCAGTCATAAGCATTAATTCATATCAAGCTCTCGTCATGGTTGGTTTGTGTCAAGTTGCTATACAATGCCCCTCCTTATGGGTGACCTTCATGCCAAACAAGTCCCTGCTGGCACAAACCGAACCACCACGCAATGTTTGATTACAAATCAAACATCACAGCAGATCTTTTTTTTCTCCTTTAACTGCCAGCCCACGGTACTTTATTACATTTTCTTAATCAAGGATGTCTCTCCAGAACAAGATTCACTGATTCACTAGTGCCCCAATAAAAAACACTAAGTTCAAAAGTTACTCAACCTTTATCTAAAACATACTGCATGTGTCATCAATGCCAAGATTTAAATGTGACAAGACAGTGACATAATATCAAAACATAATAATATCCATGCATCTATTGATTAGCCACTTAATTAATTAGTATTGTACTTTAACAAATCTACTTCTCTTTAATACAGAATACGTGGAGATGCAGGTGTAAATATAGCAGAACTAAAACCTTCACTGCACAAACAAAACATGTAGGTAAAACCTTGACATGCTGGAGTGAAAACTGAGCACATATTAAAACCTTTTCTACAGGCACAGGCCTTCACATTGAACGCTTTGCAATAACATCTACTGGACAATTACTTGGCATTTAATTGGCAAGGAAAATCCAGCTCATGTGAAAGTGAAATCGTTATAGCCCTGTTCGTTATCTGTATTTCGTACTGATCCGTTTTGTAAAGTCTCCACCCTGATTGTGATTCCTCGACCCTCGGTAGATTAGACCTTAACAGGGCTTCGCAGTATCCACGAAAACACCCCAAAATAGCTAAACCCTGCTTTATTTTTTTTTATTTAATTTTGAAGAAACACGTCTGAGTTAAAAAAATAAATAACAATAAAATCTGGCTCGGGTGACGTCTTTCCCAGCTTGGATGGCCACAAGGGCAAAGTTGCAGCAATGGCTCAGCAACGCCCTTTCCAGCTAACGTTAGCTTAGCACGATAACGTTGAGTGGAGGCTGTCAGTTTAGATTGAGCAGGCGAGATTTACACAACACAGCCACCGTACCAAAACACGCGAAGGGCGTTGGTCTGAGCGGAGAGGCAGCAACGCAAACATGGCAACTTGTTGAGAAATAAAAGAGCTATCCGTTAAACTGTGAAGGAGAAGAGGACATGTAACCCAACTTTGATTATATATAGCTGTTAGCTGATATCCGCTCCGGAACAACACCGCTCACAAATCAACGACACATCAGCTCAGCCTGTCAAATATAACACGTAGCACTTGGGTAATCAATTATCTAGAATAAAATCGGAATATTTCCAACCCCGGCTGTGGGGAAATATGGCAGCAGGCTGACTTAGCCGGCTAACGTAGCACGTTAGCTCGTCCCTACTGAACGTCCACAAATAGACGCAGCTAGCAAACGTTAGCCAAAATGTTCAGCTATGTTTCACAACAAGTGTCTCTCCGTACAACGCACGTACTGACCGAGGAGCACAGAACTGGACTGGGTTCAGGATAGTTCAATTACATCACCGCTGGCGTGTCTCAAAGCGCTCAGTTTCTGAATCGACGCTCCTGGGGATGCCAACTTTGCCACTTAGCTTAGCCGTCGGCCTCTCCGCCATTTTGAGCTCTGAACGGGAGAGCGCAGACACTGCAGACAATTCGTCGTCAGAAATAACAAGTCTTTTTAAGTGGCAAAACAAACATACAGACGCCTGGAAAAACTGCTAACTTACCCTCTGACAAACGCTCATTCTCATAACCCCTCGACTGGCCCGAGCATGCGACGGGAAACCCTGATTTTGATGTGGTATTGTGACTTTTCACATCACCCGGCTCCGTCGGTCGGATTGTTCTCCTCTTTGGTACCACCGCAGTACCGGACAGCTAACGGTCGCGGTTGGATATCGGGAGCGCGCACGTTGAGGTGAGCGGAGGCGCGCAGTGTGCGTATCTCTCGCTGTTGGGAGTTAAAGGAAAAAAAAACAACACACCGATCATTAATATAAGTTATATACGTTGTTTTTATTATTATTATTATTATTATTATTTGATAATTACGTAAAGCAAAAGATTTTAATTTTACACTTTTTTAATTGTAAACAAGTGAGATGAGCAGCAGGACACAGTTTATAGTTGGGAGGAGGTCACCTGAAAGACAAATCATGCAGCTTCTCCATAGATAGTGAATAATGGAATAACTGCCAGGAAATTATAACTTAACCAATAAAAAAAACTTATTATGGATATATTGGAGTACATTGGAATAGCAGTTATCTGGAGTAATATTTAAAATTAACTTCATTAAGATCACAGTCAGTGGACCAACTCCACAAAATGTCACTTGATAAAAATACAAAGTTCAAAGTTTAATACTGTTATTTCCAGTTTAGGGAACAATTTAGAGGCCACTAATTTGACTTTTTTTTGTAGAATATAAGACATAAGATGCTTATAGTTTCCCAACAGTCACCTGGATATTCATAACATATTAATTACGAGTGGATTAAATTATAATGGACTGGTACACATCCAAAACAGCCATAAAGATTATTTTCATATTCAGATATAGACAAATCATCTATCATGTTCTGAGAAGTGTTCATGGCGCAAGTGTGAAACCCAGTGGACACACAGGGAATTGCAAGATGACAGCACTTCTTTTAGTACACTGTTGCTATATTTCTGTTTCTCAGTAGAAGTAAACATACTGTGCTTGTTCCTTCATCTAGTGGTAAAATCAGTCTATATTTTTATTTTATATGTAGGTTTATGCATTTCTCTTAAAAGGAGGACAGTTATAGATCTTTGCCATCAATGTTACAGCTTGCAGAGTTCATTCATGGAGCCCATACAGCCCAACAGGAGCTATATCATGGGTGCAGGGCGTTAGATACAGATCCAGTCCTCCACGGATACACTTGAACTTTTCCTTTCAACTCAGTCCTCAGGTCTGCAATTTCTTTTGCACTACAGAGAAAAGACATATACAGACGTATGTGTGACATTACAACCACCACATTAGGACTGTTTCAGTGTTCACCTGAGGGGAATAAGAATGATTCCACATGTCAGGTTCAGCTGCTGAAGGATTGTGGGAAGACTTGGTCTGGAAAACTGGAGAGAAACACAGTGTGAGATAAAGTATCACACAACCAGAAATGCTTGTATTTATTCGTGTGTTTACAAAACTCTACAAACCTTTGGAGGTGGAATACAGGAAGTAGGCGTGTTACTGTAGATGTGGTTGATGGCTTTCTGAAGGATCACAGCCTGCTGAGTGAGGCTCTTCAGGTAGTCGGAGCTTTCCTTCGTGCTGTCATGGTCCTCACCAACCTTCATGTGTGCAACAAAAAAGTTAAAATTAAGAGCATATGGCATAATCTTAACGCAAAGTGTTCCAGGATTTGTAAAACTCACCTGGCTCTTATATATTGAATAAGCCTCTTTCTCATGTTGCAGGGCTGATCGAAACTCTCCTTTGCTCTCGTACACAGTGGCGAGCAGATGGTGTCTGCACACAAGGTAAAGACACGGAGGGAGAGAGGTAAAGAAAACTTTTTTATAAATGAAGGAAGGGAGCAGCATAGATCACTGATATGTTTTCAAGTTGTATGTAATTGTAATGTGTTGCAATCTGTGTTTTTTATCTTCTCATCTGCTTCTAAATGTAAGAAAACAGAGGAACGTGGTGACAAACTGTCTTACCCATAAAGCAGACTTCCAGGACTGCCTTTCTTCATTTAGACACATCCAATCACTACACCTCAGAGAGACTATAAAAATGATGCTTTATCATAAACTTAACTACACAACTAGTCCATTAATCATTTATCGATTGACAAAAAATTACTTGGCAAATGTTTGATAATTGTTTAAGTAATGTTTCATGTAAAGCATTTCATGGTTGCAGCTTCACAACTGTGAACATTTTCTGTTTGTCCTTTTAATAGCTTTAATGTATTTATAATAATATAGCAGTTTGGAATATTGGTTGGACAAAACAAGCATTGTGAAAGTGTCACTTTGGGTTCTGGGAAATTGCGACGGCATCAATTGATTAATGGAAAAAACAATAATCAGCAGATTATTTCATAAATAATTAGTTGCCGTCCTATACAAAGTAAATTAAAATGAGCTCCACCTCAGTGAAATTCACCTTTTACTTGAATGCATGAGTGATAATAATCAATTATATAATATATAATAGTGTAACATAGGGGGTATTTCAATTTCAATACAGGACTTTTACTTGTAACAGAATATTTTCACAGTGTGATATTAGTACTTTTACTTCAGTGAACGATCTCAATACCCCTGACCATCATCAGATTAAAACTTTCTCTAAAGTTCTTTTTAATAATTTTTTTCTTTTTACAGAGGTAGAAACTGTAAATAGTTGCAGTATATGAACATCAGAGCAGTTCATGGGATTGTCTCAATGTCTATATAAAGACCTACAGTCCATGACAACAAACAGAATAAAAAAACTTCAATGAATCTTTGATTTATTTGAATGTTGTTTTAATGTAACGATACAAGAGGGAAGTCAGATTCAGAATCACATTATTTGATACATTCACTAAGTGTACAGTATTTTCTAAAGAATCACAGTGTAGCAATAACAACAGAGTTTGTGACAAATCAATCACACAGCAGCCAAACAACATCCTTACAGTGGGAAGAGAAGGGCACCACTGAAGGTGCTGTAGTTATCTTTATCGTCATAGAGAAAATTACCTGATGGGAGAACAAGGTGAATTTCATCTCCTGCTATCAGCTCCAAGACAAGAGAGTTAGTGAAATACTTATCACCCCCAGAAGATTGCCAAATATCATTATACATAATCCTTTGGTTGTTCTTGTACACCTGTATACCCATAGAACCTGCATGGTAACCAAATGCAGTGAACTGGAGATAGTAGACCCCTTTCACTGGTGCTGTGAAGAAACCTACAGAGTAAAAGCAGAAAATCAAAAACATTAACAACTGATTGATGTAGATTTCCATGACCTCATGTGACCTGCAGTATATTACCTGTAGCTGGATTGTAAGCGTTGCCAATGTTGGTGAAGACCTTGCTGTATTTCAGTGTCATGTCAGTGTTGTATGGTCCAACGTTCCTTGAATTAGTCAGAGCTGTGTAAAAGGCCACCTTTGGTTTCTCTGTTAACACAAAAAAGTTAATTTATGTCATTAAACTTAACTTAACTACACTAAATAATGTTTGTAAGGTGTGTGTGTGTGTGTGTGTGTGTGTGTGTGTGTGTGTGTGTGTGTGTACAATCATCACCTTCATTTTCTCTCTCCAGCTGGTCAATCCTGGACTTACTGACGAGAAGTTCACTCTCACTGGTTCTAAGTCTGGTCTGCAAGTCTGGAGTTAATACAATGACAGTGAATTACAGAGCAGAGCAGTCATCAAAATATCAAACAGTTAACATGCAAAACAAATTATATACAGTGTGATCTCCAGACATTGAATCCTACTGACTTTGGTGATCCTCTGACTTTTCCTCTGGCGCCACCATGAGGTTGACATTTGTGGTTTTGAGTGAAATGTCTCAACAACTGTTGGATAGTTTGTCTTGAAATCGATTTCTCCCTCAGGATGATTTGTAATCACTTCGGTGATCTCTTAATTTTTCAGTGCCTTATATGTAATCAGTAAAATCTTATATTTCATTCTGAATTCATAATCACCGGATTGAAATTTATAAGCAGATTTATGAGCAATATTTTCACCTCTATTTCAGCTATTTTTTTTGTTTCCCTTTCTTATTAACCTGAAAACAACATTATGTTTAAAGATGTACATAGATTGAAATAATAACATAGTAAATAACAAACAATACGTGACACTTATTAAACAATCATGTTTGTCAGTGAAATACCTGCATTCTGTTTCTCTAGGTCACTTGTTTTGCTCTCGGTGGCAGTAAGTCTAGTTTCCAGAGAGATCAGTTGTGTGGCTTGGACTGAAAAACAGAATTAGTTAAATTTTTGTTTGTGAGTGGTTGAAAGCTGTTTAAGTAACACAATGAGTTCTGTTGTATTTAGTATTTAATGTAGCTTAATTATCCACACAATCTGAATTTTTATTGTGGAGCTCACAATTAGTTTATCAGTGCACTGACACACTTCAGTCAAACTCTTGAATCAACAGGAAAAGTTACCAGTCCGTACCAGAATTCTCTCTCTGCAGCAGCTCCATTTGCACCTTGGTGACCATCAGCTCAGCCTTCAGTTCATTCACCTGGCTCTCACTGTCCTTCACTCTGGCCTCCATGTTCCTCAGCTCCACCTTGAGCTCCACCACCATGTCTCTCAGGGCCCTCACCTCTACCCAGATGTCAGGGGTGGTTTGCTTTGTGGTCTGCTCTGACGATTCCTCAACTGCACCCACCTCGTCGAGGCCTCCACCCTCCCCCTGAGCCCCTGAGCCACACAGACCGAGCAGCAACAACAGCAAACCAAGAACAACCCTCATTGTCCAGTTACACGTCTTCACAAAGGTACAGTGGTAGAGTTGGTCTGTCTTATATAGTCTCCAAACTTCAGCTGGCTGAATGAATGGGAAAAACAACAAGTGACTGATTCAAGGCCTCAGATGATTAAATATGATCTCTGTGCTGGTGAGAAAATACAAGCTGCTACAGGCTGGTGGAAAACTTTTACTAAGATACTCTCATACAGTCACAGCTGTATATACACTGTGTTCATTAATACACACACATAGACAAACAGTCACAGAAACCTACTTACCCTGATGCCAAGGTGTTTTAGTGTGTGTGAGGGTTATCTGATTAAAGTCGCAGAAGTGATTAAAAAAAAAAAAAAATTAAAGTAAAAAACCACCATTCATTAATTTGTTTTCTTGACATCACAAAATGCAGACAAACCTCATAACTTTCCTATATTGTAACAATGATGCAGTTATATTCACTCTCAAAAGTCTTGTAAAATAAGCTGTGAAGCCCAGAGAAAATATCTCTCATCTTTTCACTCTTCTAATCTCGTAGACATTATCTATAAATCACAGCATGAAATTATTGTTATAATATTACTATTATACATTATTAGTGCAGTGATCATGGCATGAAAGCTATCTGATTTAATGGCATTTCTGAGACTAAATGTAATTCTAAATCTGACCATCTTACAGCTAAATATCCCTTAAAGCCACAAAATCACAGAACTCATACATACATCCATCTTCAGCACCATATCCTGAATCAGTGTTACAAACGTTAATGTGTTTGTTATATATATATTTAAATGACATGTGGAAGGTGCTGTAGTGTAGCAGGTGGTACAACCTAGCATGACAGCCTGTGCTGGCAGACAAACTAGTGGCTGTTTGTTGTTGAGGACAGATTTAAAGTCTTTCCAAAGCCCACAGTCATAGTGTATGTATGTATCTGACTGTTTGTTTCAGCCAGGTAAAAAATAACCACACAATTTGAGAAACACAGAGTCACAACAGGTGGTGCCCTCCTTCCTTGTCTTGCAGGACTGGGATCACACTTCTTCAAAGTAGGCCAGGGAGAAGCTGTCTTCTGTGCAGACATCTATCATTCTGCTGTGTGCAGTTTCCTCTGCTGAGTCATCACTTCAAATTGTCTTTGTTCATGTCAAATCATGTTTTTAAATAAAATAACTGAAAGTTTGACACTCTGGTGGCAGAGGTGGAGCTCATGGAGTCAGATTGGCTGAATGGACAGCCACCATACCAAAACGGCGTTGGTCTGAGCAGAGAGGTAGCTAAGCAACATGGCACACTTTTTTAATTGTAAACAAGTGAGATGAGCAGCAGGACACAGTTTATAGTTGGGAGGAGGTCACCTGAAAGACAAATCATGCAGCTTCTCCATAGATAGTGAATAATGGAACAACTGCCAGGAAATTATAACATAACCCATAAATATAACTTACTATGGATATATTGGAGTACATTGAAATAGCAGTTATCTGGAATAATATCTAAAATTAACTTCATTAAGATCACAGTCAGTGGACCAACTCCACAAAATGTCACTTGATAAAAATACAAAGTTCAAAGTTTAATACTGTTATTTCCAGTTTAGGGAACAATGTTACTACGAGGCCACTAATTTGACTTTTTTTGTAGAATATAAGACATAAGATGCTTATAGTTTCCCAACAGTCACCTGGATATTCATAACATATTAATTACGAGTGGATTAAATTCTAATGGACTGGTACACATCCAAAACAGCCATAAAGATTATTTTCATATTTAGATATAGACAAATCATCTATCATGTTCTGAGAAGTGTTCAAGAAGTGTGAAACCCAGTGGACACACAGGGAATTGCAAGATGACAGCACTTCTTTTAGTACACTGTTGCTATATTTCTGTTTCTCAGTAGAAGTAAACATACTGTGCTTGTTCCTTCATCTAGTGGTATAATCAGTCTATATTTTTATTTTATATGTAGGTTTATGCATTTCTCTTAAAAGGAGGACAGTTATAGATCTTTGCCATCAATGTTACAGCTTGCAGAGTTCATTCATGGAGCCCATACAGCCCAACAGGAGCTATATCATGGGTGCAGGGCGTTAGATACAGATCCAGTCCTCCACGGATACTAACTTGGATACAGTTGTTGTCCAAAGTAGGCTAACCCACTTATTAACACCAGCGATTTGCCCGGCTTTCATTTGCCATTGTTATTTTCAGAAGTCTGGCTGAAAACACAGATGTGCTATTGTCCCTTTAGTCCAGTTCAGTGTTGTTTTTTGTCGTCTGCAGTTCTTAAGTCTTTTTTTCCAGCTCTTCCACTTGAACTTTTCCTTTCAACTCAGTCCTCAGGTCTGCAATTTCTTTTGCACTACAGAGAAAAGACATATACAGACGTTGTTGTTACATTCAGGTGTTGGACATTACAACCACCACATTAGGACTGTTTCAGTGTTCACCTGAGGGGAATAAGAATGATTCCACATGTCAGGTTGAGCTGCTGAAGGATTGTGGGAAGGCTTGGTCTGGAAAACTGGAGAGAAACACAGTGTGAGATAAAGTATCACACAACCAGAAATGCTTGTATTTATTTGTGTGTTTACAAAACTCTACAAACCTTTGGAAGTGGAATACAGGAAGTAGGCGTGTTACTGTAGATGTGGTTGATGGCTTTCTGAAGGATCACAGCCTGCTGAGTGAGGCTCTTCAGGTAGTCGGAGCTTTCCTTCGTGCTGTCATGGTCCTCACCAACCTTCATGTGTGCAACAAAAAAAAGTTAAAATTAAGAGCATATGGCACAACCTTAACGCAAAGTGTTCCAGGATTTGTAAAACTCACCTGGCTCTTATATATTGAATAAGCCTCTTTCTTATGTTGCAGAGCTGATCGAAACCCTCCTTTGCTCTCGTACACAGTGGCGAGCAGATGGTGACTGCACACAGGATAAAGACACAGAGGGAGAGAGGTAAAGAAAACTTTTATACAAATGAAGGAAGGGAGCAGCATAGATCACCGATATGTTTTCAAGTTGTATGTAATTGTAATGTGTTGCAATCTGTGTTTTGTGTTTTCTCATCTGCTTCTAAATGTAAGAAAACAGAGGAACGTGGTGACAAACTGTCTTACCCATAAAGCAGACCTCCAGGACTTCCTTTCTTCATTTAGACACATACAATCACTACACCTCAGAGAGATTATAAAAATGGTGCTTTATCATAAACTTAACTACAGAACAGTATATACAAGTGTAGCTGAAACAACTAGTCCATTAAACAATTAACGATTGACAGAAAATTACTTGGCAAATGTTTGATAATTGTTTAAATAATTTCATGGTTGCAGCTTCAGAACTGTGAACATTTGCTGTTTGTCCTTTTAATAACTTTAATGTATTTATAATAATATAGCAGTTTGGAATATTAGTTGGACAAAACAAGCATTGTGAAAGTGTCACTTTGGGTTCTGGGAAATTGTGACGCCATCAATTGATTAATGGAAAAAAAATAATAATTTATAAATAATTAGTTGCCGTCCTATACAAAGTAAATTAAAATGAGCTCCACCTCAGTGAAACCCACCTTTTACATGAGTAATAATAATCAATTATATAATATATAATAGTGTAACATAGGGGGTATTTCAATTTCAATACAGGACTTAGACTTGTAACAGAATATTTTCACAGTGTGATATTAGTACTTTTACTTAAGTGAACGATCTCAATACCGCTGACCATCACCAGATTAAAACTTTCTCTAAAGTTCTTTTTAATCATTTTTTTCTTGGTACATAGTTAGAAACTGTAAATAGTTGCAGTATGTGAACATCAGAGCAGTTCATGGGATTGTCTCAATGTCTATATAAAGACCTACAGTCCATGACAACAAACAGAATAAAAAAACTTCAATGAATCTTTGATTTATTTGAATGTTGTTTTAATGTGACGATACAAGAGGGTCGTCAGATTCAGAATCACATTATTTGATACATTCACTAAGTGTACAGTATTTTCTAAAGAATCACAGTGTAGCAATAACAACAGAGTTTGTGACAAATCAATCACACAGCAGCCAAACAACATCTTTACAGTGGGAAGAGAAGGGTGCCACTGAAGGTGCTGTAGTTATCTTTATCATCATAGAGAAAATTACCTGATGGGAGAACAAGGTGAATTTCATCTCCTGCTATCAGCTCCAAGACAAGAGAGTTAGTGAAATACTTATCACCCCCAGAAGATTGCCAAATCCCATTGTGCATAATACTCTGGTTGTTCTTGTACACATTTATACCAATGGAACCTGATTGGTTACCACATGTAGTGAACTGGAGATTGTAGACCCCTTTCACTGGTACTGTGAAGAAACCTACAGAGTAAAAGCAGAAAATCAAAAACATTAACAACTGATTGATGTAGATTTCAATGACTTCATGTGACCTGTAGTATATTACCTGTAGCTGGATTGTAAGTATTGCCAATGTTGGTGAAGACCTTGCTGTATTTCAGTGTGATGTCAGTGTTGTATGGTCCAACTTGTCCTGAATTAGTCAGAGCTGTGTAAAAGGCCACCTTTGGTTTCTCTGTTAACACAAAAAAGTTCACTTATGTCATTAAACTTAACTTAACTACACTAAATAAGTAAATAGGTGTGTGTGTGTGTGTGTGTGTGTGTGTGTGTGTGTGTGTGTGTGTGTGTGTGTGTGTGTGATGTAGATGAGTAGATACAATCATCACCTCCATTTTCTCTCTCCAGCTGGTCAATCCTGGACTTACTGACGAGAAGTTCACTCTCACTGGTACTCAGTCTGGTCTGCAAGTCTGGAGTTAATACAATGACAGTGAATTACAGAGCAGAGCAGCTATCAAAATATCAAACAGTTAACATGCAAAACAAATTATATACAGTGTGATCTCCAGACATTGAATCCTACTGACTTTGGTGATCCTCTGACTTTTCCTCTGGCGCCACCATGAGGTTGACATTTGTGGTTTTGAGTGAAATGTCTCAACAACTGTTGGATAGTTTTGAAATCGATTTCTCCCTCAGGATGAGTTGTTATCACTTTTCTGATCTCTTAACTTTTCACATAGCGCCATCATCAGCCAAGGACTGAAACTAAGTACATTTACTCAAGTATTGTACTTAAGTACAGATTTGGCAGTTTGGATTATTGGTTGTACAAAACAAGCACTGTGAAAGTGTCACTTTGAGCTTTGGATAATTGTGACGGCATCAAGTGATTAATTAAAAAACATAATCAGCAGATTGATTGACAAATAATTATTTGTTGCTTTCCTGTACAAAATAGTTCAGAATAAATTACACCTCAATAACAGCAACAGTCAAATCCTTCTTTTACATGAGTAATAATAATAAATGATATTATATATAATAGTGTAACATGGAGGAATTTTGGGTGTCAATACAGGACTTTTACTTGTAACAGAATATTTTCAATGTGATATTAGTACTTTTACTTAAGTGAAGGATCTCAATATCGCTGACCATCATCAGGTGACATTTTCCCTAAAACTTTAGTTTATCAGTAAAATTTATGAGCAAAATTTTTATACACTTTTTTCTTTCCCTTTTTTATTAACTTGAAAAAAATATATATTTTCAAAGATGTACGCATACAATCTTTAACACAGATTAAAATAATAGAATATAAAAAAACAAATCATCACAATTAGTAAACAATCATGTTTGTCAGTGAAATACCTGCATTCTGTTTCTCTAGGTCACTTGTTTTGCTCTCAGGGGCAGTCAGTCTAGTTTCCAGAGAGATCAGTTGTGTGGCTTGGACTGAAAAAACAGAATTAGTTAAATTATTTTTTTTGTTTGTGAATGGTGAAAATTAACACAATGAGTTCTGTTTTATTTATTATTTATGTAGCATAATTATCCACACCATGTACATTTGTATACATTTATTGTGGAGCTCACAATAAGTTTATCAGTGCACTGACACACTTCAGTCAAACTCTTGAATCAACAGGAAAAGTTACCAGTCTGTACCAGAATTCTCTCTCTGCAGCAGCTCCATTTGCACCTTGGTGACCATCAGCTCAGTCTTCAGTTCATTCACCTGGCTCTCACTGTCCTTCACTCTGGCCTCCATGTTTCTCAGCTCCACCTTGAGCTCCACCACCATGTCTCTCAGGGCCCTCACCTCTGCCCAGATGTCAGAGATGGTCTGCTCTGACGATTCCTCAACTGCAACCCCCCCTCGTCGAGGCCTCCACCCTTCCCCTGAGCCCCTGAGCCACACAGACCGAGCAGCAACAACAGCAAACCAAGAACAACCCTCATTGTCCAGTTACACGTCTTCACAAAGGTACAGTGGTAGAGTTGGTCTGTCTTATATAGTCTCCAAATTTCAGCTGGCTGAATGAATGGGAAAAACAACAAGTGACTGATTCAAGGACTCAGATGATTAAATATGATCTCTGTGCTGGTGAGAAAATACAAGCTGCTACAGGCTGGTGGAAAACTTTTACTGAGATACTCTCTCATGCAGTCACAGCTGTATATGCACTCTGTTTATTAATACACACACATAGACAAACAGTCACAGAAACATACTTATTCTGATGCTAAGGCCTTTTAGTGTGACTGAGGGTTATCTGATTAAAGCCAGTGAGTAAAAGTTTTTTCTTCACTCTGTCTCACTTCTTGTCTCATTCTCTCTGATATTTTATGAATTAATATAAAAACTTTCCTCCGTTGGATCATTGTGATTTTCTATTCCATCTTATATTTTTAAAGTTTTTTCTTCATTCTGTGTCACATAATCTAACAAGTCTGGTCCACATTAGAAATGTGTGCACCCAGTTCATCTCACTTCAGATCGGTTATTGTCCTACAAAGGGAAATTCTCAACTCAATAACAGAATCCAAAAACTTAAATGAATCTTTGATTTATTTGAATGTTGATTTCATGTGACGATACAAGAAGGAAATCAGGTTCAGAATCACATAATTTGATACGTTCACTAAGTGTACAGTATTTTCTAAACAATCACAGTGTAACCAATAACAACAGAGTTTGTGACAAATCAATCACACAGCAGCCAAACAGCATCCTTACAGTGGGAAGAGAAGGGCGCCACTGAAGGTGCTGTAGTTATTTACATCGTCATAGAGAGAATAGCCTGATGGGAGAACAAGGTGAATTTCATCTCCTGCTATCAGCTCCAAGACAAGAGAGTTAGTGATATACTTATAACCCCACTCAGGCAGATTGCCCCAATTATACATAATCCTTTCACTGTTCTTGTACACATCTATAGCCATAGAACCCGGTTGGTGACCAAATGCAGTGAACTGGAAATAGTAGACCCCTTTCACTGGTGCTGTGAAGAAACCTACAGAGTAAAAGCAGAAAATCAAAAACATTAACAATTAACTGATTTTGATTTCCATGACCTCATGTGACCTGCAGTATATTACCTGTAGCTGGATTGTAAGCATTGCCAATGTTGGTGAAGACCTTACTGTATTTCAGTGTGATGTCAGTGTTGTATGGTCCAACAAGTGCTGAATTAGTCAAAGCTGTGTAAAAGGCCACCTTTGGTTTCTCTGCTAACACAAAAAGTTCATTTATGTCATTAAACTTAACTTAACTACACTAAATAGGTGTGTGTGTGTGTGTGTGTGTGTGTGTGTGTGTGTGTGTGTGTGTGTGTGTGTGTGTATACAATCATCACCTGCATTTTGTCTCTCCAGCTGGTCAATCCTGTACTTACTGACAAGAAGTTCAGTCTCACTGATACTCAGTCTGGTCTGCAAGTCTGGAGTTAATGCAATGACAGTGAATTATAGAGCACAACACACAACACATTTCATACAGTATTGTGACCCTCATGTTATTTGTTGAGCCAATCTTCAAAGAATAAACTGCTGTAAATGTACAGTAGTTAAAACAACCAGTATGACCATTAGAATCGATTAAGGCAGATAAAACATTTGGTTCATTTTAGGGGAAGGTTGCAGGAGCAGAGGTCAGAGGGCCATTAGCCAAAACGCCTCAGTCTGACAATAACTTTGCTCTTAATAGTATCTATTAAAATTTTAAATAACACAATGAGCTCTATTGTATTTATGATTATGATTTATATACATGATCTATAAATCACAGCATGAAATTATTTGTATAATATTACTATAATATTAAGTGCAGTGATGATGTCATGACAGCTATCTGATTAATTGGCATTTCTGAGACTAAATGTACCTGCTCAGTCTATATTACCTACATTGATTTGTGGGCACAGAGCTGGACTCTCTGGTGACAGTGGCAGAGAGAAGGACCCTGGACAAACTGCTGTCCATACTGGACAACACCCATCACCCTTTGCACTACACCTTCAGCAGGCAGAGGAGTGTGTTCAGTGGCAGACTGCTGTCCCAATCCAGCTCCAACAACAGACTCAAAAACTCTTTTGTCCCCCTGGCCATCAGACTGTACAACAGCTCTCAGTAAAGGCAGGGAGGACAATCTATCTATCTATCTATCTATCTATCTATCTATCTATCTATCTATCTATCTATCTATCTATCTATCTATCTATCTATCTATCTATCTATCCATCTATCTATCTATCTATCTATCTATCTATCTATCTATCTATCTATCTATCTATCTATCTATCTATCTATCTTGATAAGATATGTATTAACATTAGCAACACATGCTCGTATGTTTTGGTTTACTGTATTAAAAGGCACAGCACAAAAGCAGAACTGCAGATGAATATGTTCTAGCATGACTATAATATGGTCATTATAACAATATTAAAGATGGATACATTGTCATTCCATCCCATACACATTCAAATTACTTTAGCAAAAGAGTGAAAAGAAAATTTCCCCTAGGGGATTAATAAAGTATATCTTCTTCTTCTTCTTCTTCTTCTTCTTCTTCTTCTTCTTCTTCTTCTTCTTCTTCTTCTTCTTCTTCTTCTTCAATAAGTGTATCTCTGTAGGCTCATGTCACTATGGTGTTTTCCCATTTGTAGATCCCCTTTTATCTCTGACTTCATCTATAAAATAGAGAAAAACTAATGTTTGAAGCAAACACTACAAATGCAAACAGGTAAAAAGATGAAAATGTGTGCATGGTGTGTGGTTTTAATGCAGGATGTTACCAGATTACTGGCTACATTTGATCTCCACTATATAATATAAACAGAGACGTCACACAATTTAAGTTACAAATGAAGGTTGGTGCTTGATTTGCAAAGACCTGAGACACTCTGACCCAACCCAACTTAGTCCTAAACGATAGCAGGTCTTTTCAAATCACATCCCAAAATATTTAGTGGCAATACACCGGCAGACTGCACGACAGCACATGATCAATGTAAATGACGAATCCTCAGTGGTAGAGAGTCTGGCTCACATTTCCCACAATTTATTCATGTTCAAATTAAATTTCTCAGACTATTAATGACTGCAGATTACACATTATTAAGATTGTTCTACAATTAAAAAGACATATTTAGAGGATTGTGTGGCCTTGATGGGGGTGTTTGCTCTGTCTGCATTTTACTGACTGATCTAGGAGACTAATGTCTGCACAAACATCAGGCAAAATAGAAACACTGTTGTATGATCACTGTTGTAATGAAACTATTCACAAAATAACTTGAGATTACAAATAACTGACACATCTTTGTTGTAAATATTAATTTGTGTCACTCGAAATTAAATCCCATAAGGTACAACATTGTTTCAGATGTAAAATTATTCCTAAACACAGGACATGAATTTGGCAGGAAAATCTCATAATAGAAACACACACACATTAAATTACAATCCCCCACAATGGTGGAGCTCAAGATGTATGGTGATGTTATTTAAAGAACACAAATAAATAAGGTTAAAGATGCAAACGGAAACACTTACGCAATGTGTTGATGAAAAAAGAACCAATTATTAAGATAGATTCTACCTGCAGTGATTGTCTCCAACACTAACCCTGAGAAAAACATGAGCTGAGGCAAAAAGAAAGAATAGAAGAAATGGAAAAGCCATCAATCTGCTACTCAGCAAATGAGTCAGGGTATGAAATCAACCCCAAACTTAAAGTAACCCCTAATGCTAAGACATTTGAGCACAATGATACCAAATAAAACCTTAGTAACTCAAATCATAATAGTACAAAATAAAGTTCAAGGCACGTCAACAGTCTAGAGTACAAAATATAAAAACTTGAAATGAGCTCAAGCTTGCAACTGTATACTACATTTCTATTAACTATCACATTGCAAGAAAACAATAAAAGGCACCTGTGTGCTGTTGTCAGTAATGAACCTAGTAACAGAAACAGCAAGCAAATACAAATGAAATACCAGAACAAAGATCAAACACTGCATTTTGTGTCACATTTAGACACTGTCCCTGCACCCGTCTGCTCTGAATATTTAGACTTTTCTTCGAGTTCCAATTAGTACTTTTATAAATTGCTTTTATCACAAAGTTCTTTTTCACATTACATATTATTGATCAAGAATTATCTTGAGTTTATTTTTAGTATTTAATGCTACATTCAACAATATGTTGTTAAATTTATAATCAGAAATGTGGCAATTTCGTTGAAACTTGAAAAGTTGTATGTAATTGTAATGTGTTGCAATCTGTGTTTTTTGTCTTCTCATCTGCTTCTAAATGTAAGAAAACAGAGGAACGTGGTGACAAACTGTCTTACCCATAAAGCAGACCTCCAGGACTTCCTTTCTTCATTTAGACACATCCAATCACTACACCTCAGAGGGATTATAAAAATGATGCTTTATCATAAACTTAACTACACAACAGTATATACAAGTGTAGCTGAAACAACTAGTCCATTAAACAATTATCAATTGAAAATTACTTGTGTTTGATGTTTGATAATTGTTTAAGTAATTTCATGGTTGCAGCTTCACAACTGTGAACATTTGCTAACTTTAATGTATTTATAATAATATAGCAGTTTGGAATATTGGTTGGACAAAACAAGCATTGTGAAAGTGTCACTTTGGGCTCTGGGAAATTGTGAGGGCATCAATTGATTAATGGAAAATAAAAAATAAATAATTAGTTGCCGTCCTATACAAAGTAAATTAAAATGAGCTCCACCTCAGTGAAACCCACCTTTTACATGAATGCAAGAGTAATAATAATCAATTATATAATATATAATAGTGTAACATAGGGGGTATTTCAATTTCAATACAAGACTTAGACTTGTTACAGAATATTTTCACAGTGTGATATTAGTACTTTTACTAAAGTGAAGGATCTCAATACTGCTGACCATCATCAGATTAAAACTTTCTCTAAAGTTCTTTTTAATATATTTTTTTCTTGTTACAGGGGTAGAAACTGTAAATAGTTGCAGTATGTGAAAATCAGAACAGTTCATGGGATATTCTCAGTTTCTATATAAAGACCTACAGTCGATGACAACAAACAGAATGAAAACACTTCAATGAATCTCTGATTTATTTGAATGTTGTTTTAATGTGAAGATACAAAAGGGAAGTCAGATTCAGAATCACATTATTTGATACATTCACTAAGTGTACAGTATTTTCTAAAGAATCACAGTGTAATCCAATAACAACAGAGTTTGTGACAAATCAATCACACAGCAGCCAAAAAGCATCCTTACAGTGGGAAGAGAAGGGCGCCACTGAAGGTGTTGTGGTTACTTCCACCATCATCATAGACAGCATGCTTTGCTGGGAGAACCAAGTTAAATGTATCTCCTGCTGTCAGCTCAAAGACAAGAGAGTTAGTGAGATACTCATTACTCACACTAGACAGCCAATCCCAATTACACATCATCCTTTGGTTGTTCTTGTTCACACATACACCCATTGAACCTGCTTGGCGACCAAACACAGTGAACTGGAAATAGTAGACCCCTTTCACTGGTGCTGTGAAGAAACCTATAGAGTAAGAACAGAAAATTAAAAACATTAACAATGGATTGATGTAGATTTCCATGACCTCATGTGACCTGCAGATATTACCTGTAGATGGATTGTAAGCATTGCCAATGTTGGTGAAGACCTTGCTGAATTTCAGTGTGATGTCATCGTTGTATGGTCCAACATTTCCTGAATTAGTCAGAGCTGTGTAAAAGGCCACCTTTGGTTTCTCTGTTAACACAAAAAAGTTAATTTATGTCATTAAACTTAACTTAACTACACTAAATAAGTTTGTGTGTGTGTGTGTGTGTGTGTGTGTGTGTGTAGGTGTGTGTGTGTGTATTTGTGTGTGTGTACAATCATCACCTCCATTTTCTCTCTCCAGCTGGTCAATCCTGGACTTACTGACGAGAAGTTCACTCTCACTGGTACTCAGTCTGGTCTGCAAGTCTGGAGTTAATACAATGACAGTGAATTACAGAGCAGAGCAGCCATCAAAATATCAAACAGTTAACATGCAAAGCAAATTATATACAGTGTGATCTCCAGACTATGAATCCTACTGACTTTGGTGATCCTCTGACTTTTCCTCTGGCGCCACCATGAGGTTGACATTTGTGGTTTTGAGTGAAATGTCTCAACAACTGTTGGATAGTTTGTCTTGAAATCGATTTCTCCCTCAGGATGAGTTGTAATCACTTTTCTGATCGCTTAACTTTTCACGTAGAGCCATCATCAGTGAAGGAATGTAACTAAGTACATTTACTCAAGTATTGTACTTAAATACAGATTTGGCAGTTTGGATTATTGGTTGTACAAAACAAGCACTGTGAAAGTGTCACTTTGAGCTTTGGGTAATTGTGACGGCATCAAGTGATTAATTAAAAAACATAATCAGCAGATTAATTGACAAATAATTATTTGTTGCTTTCCTGTACAAAATAGTTCAGAATAAATTACACCTCAATAACAACAACAGTCAAATCCTTCTTTTACATGAGTAATAATAATAAATGATATTATATATAATAGTGTAACATGGGGGGGATTTCAATGTCAATACAGGACTTTTACTTGTAACAGAATATTTTCACAGTGTGATATTAGTACTTTTACTTAAGTGAAGGATCTCAATATTGCTGACCATCATCAGGTGACATTTTCCCTAAAACTTTAGTTTATCAGTAAAATTAATGAGCAAAATTTTTAACACTTTTTTCTTTCCCTTTTTTATTAACTTTAAAAAATATATATTTTCAAAGATGTACACATGCAATCTTTAACACAGATTAAAATAATAGCATATAAAAAATAAATCATCACAATTAGTAAACAATCATGTTTGTCAGTGAAATACCTGCATTCTGTTTCTCTAGGTCACTTGTTTTGCTCTCGGTGGCAGTCAGTCTAGTTTCCAGAGAGATCAGTTGTGTGGCTTGAACTGAAAAACAGAATTAGTAAAATTTTTGTTTGTGAATGGTTGAAAACAGTTTAAATAACACAATGAGCTCTGTTGTAGCCTATATATGAATACATTTAGATTAATTATCCACACCATCTTAATTTTTATAGATTTATTGTGTAGTTCACAATAAGTTTATCAGTGCACTGACACACTTCAGTCAAACTCTTGAATCAACAGGAAAAGTTACCAGTCTGTACCAGAATTCTCTCTCTGCAGCAGCTCCACTTGCACCTTGGTCAAGATCAGCTCAGTCTTCAGTTCATTCACCTGGCTCTCACTGTCCTTCACTCTGGCCTCCATGTTCCTCAGCTCCACCTTGAGCTCCACCACCATGTCTCTTAGAGCCCTCATCTCCACCCAAATATCACAGGTGGTTTGCTTTGTGGTCTGCTCTGACGATTCCTCAACTGCACCCCCCTCGTCGAGGCCTCCACCCTCCCCCTGAGCCCCTGAGCCACACAGACCGAGCAGCAACAACAGCAAACCAAGAACAACCCTCATTGTCCAGTTACACGTCTTCACAAAGGTACAGTGGTAGAGTTGGTCTGTCTTATATAGTCTCCAAACTTCAGCTGGCTGAACGAATGGGAAAAACAACAAGTGACTGATTCAAGGCCTCAGATGATTCAATATGATCTCTGTGCTGGTGAGAAAATACAAGCTGCTACAGGCTGGTGGAACACTTTTACTGAGATACTCTCTCATGCAGTCACAGCTGTATATGCACTCTGTTTATTAATACACACACATAGGCCAGGGAGAAGCTGTCTTCTGTGCAGACATCTATCATTCTGCTGCGTGCAGTTTCCTCTGTTGAGTCATCACTTCAAATTGTCTTTGTTCATGTCAAATCATGTTTTTAAATAAAATAACTGAAAGTTTGACACTCTGGTGGCAGAGGTGGAGCTCATGGAGTCAGATTGGCTGAATGGACAGCCACCATACCAAAACGGCGTTGGTCTGAGCAGAGAGGTAGCTAAGCAACATGGCACACTTTTTTAATTGTAAACAAGTGAGATGAGCAGCAGGACACAGTTTATAGTTGGGAGGAGGTCACCTGAAAGACAAATCATTCAGCTTCTCCATCGATGGTGAATAATGGAACAACTGCCAGGAAATTATAACATAACCCATAAATATAACTTACTATGGATATATTGGAGTACATTGAAATAGCAGTTATCTGGAGTAATATCTAAAATTAACTTCATTAAGATCACAGTCAGTGGACCAACTCCACAAAATGTCACTTGATAAAAATACAAAGTTCAAAGTTTAATACTCTAATTTCCAGTTTAGGGAGCAATGTTACTACAATGCTACTAATTGGACTTTTTTTTGTAGAATATAAGACATAAGATGCTTATAGTTTCCCAACAGTCACCTGGATATTCATAACATATTAATTACGAGTGGATTAAATTATGATGGACTGGTACACATCCAAAACAGCCATAAAGATTATTTTCATATTCAGATATAGACAAATCATCTATCATGTTCTAAGAAGTGTTCAAGAAGTGTGAAACCCAGTGGACACACAGGGAATTGCAAGATGACAGTACTTCTTTTAGTACACTGTTGCTATATTCTCAGTAGAAGTAAACATACTGTGCTTGTTCCTTCATCTAGTGGTATAATCAGTCTATATTTTTATTTTATATGTAGGTTTATGCATTTCTCTTAAAATGAGGACAGTTATAGATCTTTGCCATCAATGTTACAGCTTGCAGAGTTCATTCATGGAGCCCATACAGCCCAACAGGAGCTATATCATGGGTGCAGGGCGTTAGATACAGATCCAGTCCTCCACGGATACTAACTTGGATACAGTTGTTGTCCAAAGTAGGCTAACCCACTTATTAACACCAGCGATTTGCCCGGCTTTCATTTGCCATTGTTATTTTCAGAAGTCTGGCTGAAAACACAGATGTGCTATTGTCCCTTTAGTCCAGTTCAGTGTTGTTTTTTGTCGTCTGCAGTTCTTAAGTCTTTTTTTCCAGCTCTTCCACTTGAACTTTTCCTTTCAACTCAGTCCTCAGGTCTGCAATTTCTTTTGCACTACAGAGAAAAGACATATACAGACAGTATGTGTGAAGAAATCATCATTTACATTCAGGTGAGTTGGACATTACAACCACCACATTAGGACTGTTTCAGTGTTCACCTGAGGGGAATAAGAATGATTCCACATGTCAGGTTGAGCTGCTGAAGGATTGTGGGAAGGCTTGGTCTGGAAAACTGGAGAGAAACACAGTGTGAGATAAAGTATCACACAACCAGAAATGCTTGTATTTATTCGTGTGTTTACAAAACTCTACAAACCTTTGGAGGTGGAATACAGGAAGTAGGCGTGTTACTGTAGATGTGGTTGATGGCTTTCTGAAGGATCACAGCCTGCTGAGTGAGGCTCTTCAGGTAGTCAGAGCTTTCTTTTGTGCTGTCATGGTCCTCACCAACCTTCATGTGTGCAATAAAAAAGTTAAAATTAAGAGCATATGGCATAATCTTAACGCAAAGTGTTCCAGGATTTGTAAAACTCACCTGGCTCTTATATATTGAATAAGCCTCTTTCTCATGTTGCAGAGCTGATCGAAACTCTCCTTTGCTCTCGTACACAGTGGCGAGCAGATGGTGACTGCACGGAAGATAAAGACACGGAGGGAGAGAGGTAAAGAAAACCTTTATACAAATGAAGGAAGGGAGCAGCATAGATCACTGATATGTTTTCAAGTTGTATGTAATTGTAATGTGTTGCAATCTGTGTTTTTTGTCTTCTCATCTGCTTCTAAATGTAAGAAAACAGAGGAACGTGGTGACAAACTGTCTTACCTGTGCGCATGTTTCAGGGATGTGGCACCGTGATATTTGGAGGTTAAAATGAAGGCGTTCTGTAGAAACTTCAGGGAAAGCTCATACTCCATCAGTCCATGAAGCACTAGACCGAGCATACTCTAATGCAGTGGAGCACAACAGGGACATTGACGGATGATTTACAACACAAGGGTGAGATGTGATTTCTACCTTTTAGCACAAATAAAAGTTATTTTATAAAGAAGCCATGCCTGATTGATGACAAGCTGAATTACCAATACGTTGTCAAGTAACTTTGTCAGAGTTGCGTTCAGTGTTTTCTTATGATGTGAAGAGGCTTCCATTGTCTATTTACATTTCTCAGGATCTTATCTACCTTTTGTTTGCTCTTAAATAATCTTTCCTCAAGTTTTATTCCAATACTTAAATATTCTTAACAGTGTCCCCAAGTGTACTTTCATTTTTAAAATGTATATCTTTTCTTGTCTTTTCGTCCCTTTTGTCAGTAACTGTATTGTTATGTTTTTAAATTTTCTCATCAAAGGGTGAATGGAGAAATGGTTTATTTCGACCAAACCAGACTTGGAACAACCGAACAAGGATGTTTTATTTTGTTTCTGAGTCTGAATGAAGTGTGTTTAGTGAACCGCAAGATAAAATTAGTGTTTTGGTCTGAGATGCTGGTGCGCTTGTACGATATCTAGTCTGAAAGCCGTATACAGCACCTTCAATGTCTATGTGCCTGCAACACTTTGCAGTTAAGGTGTCACTTACATCCAGCAGTGCGACATGAGGATGGTCTTCTCCAATCACAAGCAGGGTGAGGTACCGAGCGCGATACAGGAGCTGTAGAGAGGTCGCAAGCCGGCCTCCAGCAAAGCAGTACAGAGCCAAATGAGTCTGAATCACAGATAGATGTAAAGAGACAAGTAAAATATTACATTAATAGAATGAAGTTAACATATTATCTGTTTATAGATTGATGAGAAGGTAAAGGAACTCACATAGTCTTGTATGGTCTGTGGATGGTCTATACCTTGTACTCTCTCGCTACTCATAACAGCCCTTTCCTGGTGGCTGAGGGCCTGTGAGACATGGAGAAATGAGGCAAACAAAACTTTATGATCAAGCTCACAGATGATTATATTTCTGTCTGTTTGTATCATGATGCAGGTTGCATACAATGCAGGAGATGTGGGTGATGATTCAGAAGTCTGGAACCAGGCTAGGTAAAAGGTCATGGTTGAAATAAACATATAATCCATATTTACATCTGCATATTCCCCCAAGATGTAGCTGATCCGTCCCAGGAGACGCAGGCACATGCACACATCCTCATGCAGGACCCCACATACGCTGCTGAACAGGGTTAGGGCCTGGCTAATCAATTCATAGCCATCTTTGAGAAGCCCTGCAAGCAAACATAAAACACTACTGATGAGTCTTAAATGTACAAAAATGAATAACATCTGCTCTTCACATGAAGTACACTGGATCCAGATGGAAACTCCGACCCATTAAATGATTTTACCTATCAGCAAGTCCAAATCTGTGCAGATCAGTGTTGGATGTATGATGTTTTTGTATTGTGTGTTGACCCTAACTATCTGTGTATGACACACAATGGACAGTTTATGAAATCTTATGGTGCCTTTAAGTGGAGTCGTGTTTACTGTGTGCACCAGTAGAGTCAATTTGAATGACCCACAGGTGAGGTATTCACAACCTAACATGTACAGAATGTACATTGAAGGGGTTATTGGTTGATGTAGTCATACTGGCCACAAAGAGATCCCTTCTTAAAGCAATTTCAATATAAGTTATGGGTGACAAAATCCACAGTCCTCATTTTGTGCAATAACACATTGTGAAGTTCAGCAGACTTCAGCATTCTCAGTTAGTAAAATCCACCATGTATCTTCTAAAGTTACCGTCTTTTTAGTTCAAAATGCCCTATTTGTGCTTCAAATGTGTGCTTGCTGAGCCATGGCAGAGGCACCATAACAAAAAGAATGATTTTGTACCCAAACAACTGTAACCTTTGAAGATACCTGCTTGACTTTATACCTCAGAAAAGTCTCATATTAGCTTTTCCTGAGCTTAGGAAATGTATTTTTACACAGAATGAGGACTGTGGATTTTGTCCCCCTTCGCTTGGATTGAAATTTCTTTAAAGGGGAATTCTCTTAGTATGGTCAGTGAACAAAAGCTCTTTCAATGTACATATTGATTTAAGACAGACTTGAAAAACTGTGAACTTATCCTTCCAAGTTTCTGATTCTTCAATGTCTGAGGAAGTTCATTTCTAAGTAGTTACTAAGTTATTTTAAAAATCTATTAATAAATCAATTCTTAAAAATACAAAAAACTAATAATTCACAATTTTAAAATGAGGAACAATACCATATCTATTCATGTTGTCAGTTGCGTAGCAACAGGGTTCTAAAGGCTTAAAACATATTGTTAACTTCACTTCCTTTATGGAGAATACAACCTCAACAGTATCAGAAATGTGACATTTCTAGCTTTTTGCCAAGTGTGTATCAGTTGATATGTTGAATAATATGATACTACTGTAGAGAAATGTTTTACACATTTCCCACAGTGTCTTTGTACTGTAGCTGGTAAGGACTTAATATCATGCTCAACAGCACATCAGCAGGGAAGACACCTTTCTATAGGGGCCCTCCAGTTAATAGTCACTTTAAGCATCCAGGCGAAGCCACCATGTTGACCTAATTGTAAACATATATGCAATACTGTAAGCAGTTGTAAGTGTCTGTCTGTGTCTCTCACCCTGCTGTACTGCCACCTGGGCGTGCTGCACAAGGCGTGTGGCATCTGTTCCTGTAGGTTTGAGATGTTTGACCACAGGGAACATGTTGACAACATCCTCCTCACCAAACACTGGCCTGTGTCGGGACTCAAACACATACTCCCTCAGCTGCACCTAAATGCAGAGGAACACAAAAAGGCACTGTTGCATTTCAATGCTGCACTAGATGCTGGAGATTTATTAGTTTTTAAGGGTTTATTAGTTTTCAGCAACACAAAATCCTGTAGCATAATGTTAGCTCTCAACTTATGTAGCCAGACCTCTGTCTTGTTAAGCATCAAATATGACCACACTTATTTTCTCTGTGAGCTCCACAGGATAGAGGTGTGACCAAAACTAGATGACCTCAGACATAAAGCTCATCTTGGACATCTTGGTGAAAAAGGTGGCAAATAATGTTTCTGCAGCAGGTTCAACCATTACCACCAGTACTGGTGACCCTAGTTTTCTATCAAAAGAGATTTTGCTGTTTATAGGATTTTGTATTTCTCTCTCTAGTCATTGTTGCACTTTGTCTGAGGCCTCTGACACCAAAAAAGCAGCATCTTAGGTATTGGGGATTCAATTAATCTCATAGGTAAATGTATTGTGAAGAGAAGCATGGTAGATATCTGACCTGGATGCCTGTCTTGATGGCCATCTCTCTCAGTAGGGAGATCCTCTGCAGGCTGTGTTTTTCTAGTACTTCATCTATACTTTCACTGAAAGATAGATAAAAATGAAAGCATAAAAAAAACCTATTGCACATATCCAACCACAAATTCCCACACACACACAAACCTGTCTATTGTGTAGTCGTAATAATCTCCAGCCTCAGTCCTGATCCTGCCCCACAGCTCACTGGGGGTCAGTTTAGCCCACACACTGTCTGTCAACAAGGCAACTCGACTCCCGTGACTCCGTCGACGTCGGCTCCTGCGGCGAGAGAGTAGCTCATCGGAGCAGGAGTCAGGGAAACAAGAAGAGGAACTCAGGAGGCAGTTGAGGAAGTGACTGACAGCAGCGGAGAAAGCTGCAGGCTCCACATCCTGGGACAAAATCAGATGTATGTTGATATTAGAAAAGTTATGTGGCATTGCAAAATGTTATTTTAATATATTTGTATCTTCTACTTGGCAACATTATTTGTTTACTTCACCTGTAGGTAGGTCCTGAAGATGTGTTTTGCACTTCTGATGATGACTTCACTGATAGAAATTCTCTGTAAGGGAATATTTGTATAATTATTTGATTAGGAAGACTTCAGCACCCAGAGAAAAGAATGGGATTCAAGTGGAAATCTTAGGTAGGCAGCTATGATGACTTTACATTCATGTGATATGGTAAATAATAGCTGTGGTAAATACCTGTATGTGGCTGAGTCTCCCTCTCTCCTCCATCCTGTCCAGCTCCCTCAGTAGGGTGCCCAGGTATCGTACATTCACACCCCGCTGGTGAAGCACTGAGGTCAGGGTCGCCCCATCCACCGGCACCGCTGTGTGGTCAAGACAGTCCCTCAGCTACCACACACACACACACACACACACACACACACACACACACACACACACACACACACACACACACACACACACACACACACACACACACACACACAGGAGCAGCAGTACAATTAATGATTAAACGTCATGCACATAACAGACCTGACCATTATTGCTGCACACAAGACTCACCACTGCAGGAATCTGATTAGACAGAAGAAAAGCAGCCCCATCCCATAACAACTGTCTCTGCCTCTGAACCTCCTCAACACACTCAGAGGAGAAACGAACACCTGCAGCAAAGGCAGACAGTTCAATGTTTGTCTTTACAGCATATATAGTATATGGCTGTGTGTGTGTGTGTGTGTGTGTGTGTGTGTGTGTGTGTGTGTGTGTGTGTGTGTGTGTGTGTGTGTGTGTGCGTGTGTGTTCAATACCTGGAGAGCAAACATTTGGATTGAAGCGGATGTCGAAGCAAGAGTCACTCACTGATCCGACAGCTTTACAAGCTTTCATGATCACATTTCTTCTCTGAAACTCTACAAGAGTGAAATATGAAACAAAATATTGAATAATATTAATAACAATTACAGTAAGAAGTCTTTTAAGTTAGCAGAATTATATAATATTATATTCTGATTCTAAATTTGACGGTCCATTTAGTTTTGGTTCTTTTTATCATATCACATGAGCTTCATCAGCAGATGGAGTTTTCAGATATCTTGTGGAGTTGTTGTTTTTCAATAAGATTATTATTTTTTCTAGTTGTTTCATATCAATTAAACTACCCCATCATATACAATTAAATAAAAATCACAATTGTACCTCATTTGATGTTTGACTGCGAACAACAAAGATGATATAAAATGATGATAGTATGATATTAGCAATGGAAATATTTTCAGAATATTGTGCTTTCTTGTAGTACTTGAACGTTAAAGTGGCCCTCCTATGATAATAATAAGGTTTATGTTAGAGATCAGTGTCTGATAGATTGCTATGTAAAATCTTAATTTGCAAAGTGCATAGTAACATATCTGTATATCTGTCAGGTAAACTTAGTGAATATTTGAACATTTCTGATTCCATGACAACTGAGCTAACTTCATCTACTCATGAAGATGACGTTATGTGACTGAAAGCTCCAGAAAAACTACTAAATGGACCCTGTGATGAGATTTTTTTCCCAAATGTTGTTCCCAAGGTCAAGAATGATGTCTATTTGCAGGAACCCAATTTCTCCTGGTTTATTATTCTACATATAAATATCAATTTAACTGGTCTTACTCACCCATATCAGCACCAGCAGTGGCTGTATCTCCAGTTCTCGGCTTACAGACTGGCTCCTCACTCTGCTCCGTGGCTTCATTCTGTTCTTCCAGCTGGCTCAGCCCCTGAGCCACCATCTTCACATAAAGTTCATACCTGCAACAGAAAACACAACTTAAAGTATATATTTTTTGGGGGGCTTTTATTATAGTGACAGCTGAAGATAGACAGGAAAGGGGGGCAGAGAGAGGGGATGACATGGAGCAAAGGGCCGCAGGTTGGATTTGAATCCTGGGCCGCTGCAGCAAGGACTCAACCTCGGTACATGGGTCGCCAGCTCTACCCACTGAGCTAACTGGGCGCCCAGAAAACACAACTTAAAAGTCCAAAGGGGTTCCACATTTCCTCTTCCTCACCTGTGCTGGACGAAGGCCTCTATCAGCTCAGATCTTAGGTTTGCCAGGCTGTGATGATGTCGGCGTGGGTAACCAAAGCTCTGACACTCCTTTGGCACCTCACCCCTCTCCTCTGTCTCTGAGAACTGGAAGTTAAGGTCAGGGGGGAAGGTCCGGAGAAGGTCCAAGATGTAAGGTCTTCCGTCATTACCCAGGATGCCTTTGGTCTCGATGCCAGAGCAAAGCTCTACTGGACTGTTCCTGTGGTCGAGCACCTGGTGACGCTGGATTCTTAGTGGTTTACTGGTTTTATCCAGAAGCTCCAGAAATCTGGAACAATGTTGGGAAAATTAAATGTTGCATGATTACATGTTTGTACTTGATCAATGTCTAATTACATAAAGTATAAGACTTTTTTGTTACCTGGGGTGTGTAAAAACTGTTTTTCCATAGTCATTAGAGCCATAGACTACACTCTGCTCCTGATTTTTCTCCAGAATCCCAGGAACAATTGTCTGAGCGATAACACGCAAACCACGATAATCCACCACAGCTGTCCCAAGTGTGTGAAGCCCTTCTATATCGACAGATGTGTATGCCTGTAAATTGTTTTAATGGCAAGAAAATGAAGGGATTAGATTATATATATTTGAAAATAAGAACAGTAGTCCATGTGGCGGCAGAGAAGATTATTTTCTGTCTATTACTGTTGTTTTTCCCTTTAATATCCACAAACTCATACCCTTACAGAAGTACTGAAGCAATACTGTTTTTCTTTAAATGGGACAATGAATGCATCCCAAGCACCTCACTACTCATGCAGGTATTGCTGTCAGGATCTTTACCTGTGCTCCTCTCAGGTCACAGATGGCAGCAGCATGAGCAGCAGTGTTGCCCCCTAGTGGGCTGTAGTGCTCAGATATGTCGAACCCCAGGCTGAAGAAGAGGTTGTTCCAGATGAACATCTGCATATGAGGGGCCTCGCCGGGGTTTAACGGCATGAGGTTACCATCGACAACGGCTACAGCACCTCGTGTTGCAGCTTCAACAAAGTCACTGTTAGTCTAGATGGAGGGATTAAAATCTTGGTTAACACAGTTTCTCTTCCTTTATTTTTATAAAGAGCAACACGATTTAATCAGTAGAAAGAGGAAGCTGTTTCATTAAAAAGCTGAACAGCACAGAGGGTAAGACAAGGGAGGTTTTATTTAAGTCCTGTTGTCCTGGTCACTGCTTCTGGGATTTAAACTAAACTCTCTCAAGTCTGCTTTTCTAGCCATAAATCAGGGAGATATTCGGAAAGAAGATGTTAAGAAATCTGTGGTCTCACCTTGAATATGCTCCTCTCTCTGTGCAGGCGATCCTGAAGGGAGTTCCTGGTGAGTTCCCTGCATCCCTGCAGCTCCTCATTCCAGTCCCGACTCTGTGGTCATAACACAAAACCTAAATATCAGCAACATCATTACTATCAGTAGCCTTAGCTGCATCATTAAAACCTCTGATTTTGTGTGTAAGTGCACACATGCATGTGTCATAAGTTTCCCTTATTTTATGTCTGCAACCTGCCCAGCTGTGTGCTCGTCCTGGCCCATCCGACTGGTGTGTGTCTCCTCTGCTCTGACACAGTCGAGGGAGTGGTCTCCCTGAGGGGCGATCCAGGTGAACACCTGGAAAGGTCCTGCAATCCGCTCATAAGGGTGTTGCTGGACTCTAGTTCACAGCAAGTGACAGAAAACATTTTTTTATGTGTTAAAAGGATGTGGGGGATTTCTATTTTATTGGGATGAAAGTATTTCATGATATTGGATTGATACGTTGCATGTCACTTGTTATTCAATTAGCCTGATGTTTCAAAATTTACAGACAGTTTGCTTACCTCTTCTTCTGCAGGGCACTAAAGGTTTTCCTGAAAGCCGGGCTGACTTGACTGAGCAGCTCGACTAGAGAGTGGCAAAGGATTTTGGGAACTGCAGGTTTCGGGTTGAAGTTGAAGGCAGTTGACCTGGAGCAGTCAGAGCGTAACACAAGTTGAATCCAGGTAAATTTTTTCTGTCTTTATCAGACATAAATATTGTTGGTTGTTGTTGGAAGTACAAACTACAGTGGCTGTAAAATGAATATTATATTCAATTTCTGCCAATAGATCCTCCTAAATGTTACACACTGGACCTTTAAAGTCACTAAAATACCTCAACTAGAAAGATTTCAGAGATTTCATGAGATGAATTAATACCTTCTTAGAGCCACAATGCTAGCTTGGCTAAAAACTCTGAACAGTTTAACACTCACTGGTTGAGGTAGAAACCGCGTGTAGAGGATGTGATGTTGAGTTCTCTGTCTTCCATAGTCAGGACATTGAGGTACATTAAGTCCCCATGCATCTTCCTGTTTCCTGGAGGAGGGTTCCAGCTGCTCATGGTCAGAACCCGCAGGCACTGTAAGGGCTGTAATGATAATGATACCACTGTTGATTCACTATATATGAATATGGATTTATTTGAAGGCGATATATTTAACCAGACTTATTTGCAATTATAAAAACTGATCTCTCACCTTCCAGTCATCTCTGACGGGCTGCAGTGGAGTGAGTGGTCGATCCTTACATCCAGGGAGGATGTATTCTGGAGGCCTGCAGGCAACAGACTCCTTTTCAGAAGCTCGCCTGTTGCCCACACTCTCCCCATCTGAAGGGACGAGTATGGAGTTGAAACGGTTGAAGGATTGCTGACAGAAATGCTCAGACAAAACCAGATGTGAGGAGGTACTGAGAGAGAACAATAATACCTTTATCTCTAGTGTAAAAGCTGAGGTATGACAGTGAGCTGCAGTTCACTCCATTGTATGCGTCTGCAGGGTCGAGGCTCCTCAGAAGATCCCGTACATGTCTGAGATGAAGACGAGCATCACGCACTGAGTAAGAGTCTGTAATGAGATCAGAAAAGATGCTTATAAAGTGTTTAATTGAGTCGCAATGAATTTTTCTTGTTGCTATGGTGCATTCATGAAAAAAAGTGTTTAAAAACAATATAAGACAAAACATTGACAGTATAAAGACTGAAGTGGAGAAGAACTTGCAGAAAACCTGCTGTCCATTATAGTGAGCATATTTTTTTTATTTCACAGGTGATTTAACATATTCTGTATCACCTAGCCTTGGAAAATGAACAGCTTCTTCTTGGAAGCTTGCTTACAATCTAGCACAGAGTCTAGACCCTCAAACCTGTGTGCTGTTATTGGCTGTGGGTTACACTGACACCCAGAAACATCCTGAACACAGCAAAATAAGAGGGCAGGGTCTCTGCAGATACAGACATATGTCTAGTGGGGTCATAAGTAGTGACAGATAGAAAGATTATTTTTGTATGAGTTTATGGTTTGTTTGTTTTTTAGGAAAATCCTACTCATTCTGCAAAAAATTCAGCAAAATTAAACTGTGGTTGAGTTGTGTGGATTCACATAGTTGTTGTAGACCTTCATTTTCACTGTGTTTGCACAGCTTAATGATTTAGGTGCGTGCAGTTTTAAGACACAAAAGAGAGCCTCTGTCTGACACAACTTAATAACAGCTTTTTTCAGACAAAACATGCTATCCCGTGACTTATCACTGGTCCATGTGAAGATGTGAGGTCTAATAAAACTGGACATAAGTCTGTTGCTGACAATTGTCACATAAAAACTTATAAAGAATAAAGAAAAGATGAAGCAGTTACCCTCCACCACCTTGATCAGCGCTCCGTCCTGGATGCCCTGGATGGAGCGTAGCTCTGTGAGGCCGTCAAGTGGGGAACCTCCCAGATGGAGCGAGAAGCATGTGCGGTGGCAGGTGATCTCATGCTCCATCAGCACCTGGTGCAGCTCCGCCACCAACAGCTGGCCTGACACCTGAGGAGTGCAGGAGAGACACAGAATTTGGACTGGAGTGATGCAGAAAGACGTGAAGATACAGTTAAGGATCTTTAAGATTAATGACAGTAGTAGACTGCAGAAAAACCTGAAGCTCAAAACTTTCTGTTCCAGGAGGTTGGATTCTGACAGTAAAGCCGGTCTCTTGGAGATCGACTATGTCACGGATGCTAAGCTGTTTGCTTTTATCAACATCAGACTGCTCTGGGCGATCGTCCTCCAGGCTTTCTTCAATTTGATTTGGAGGTGCTGTTGACAATAGAAGAGACAAAATAAGGGCGTGAGGATGAAAACTGGCTGCGTGATATGGGGGACAATTTTTTCCCAGAAGTTGAACTTAAAGGGAAAATGGATAATAAACTATTATTACATTTTGATACAGGATAACCAGGCAATAAACAGCCAAACTGAAAAGAAAGAGGAAACCGGAAAAGGAAATTGAATAATGAAATGATAAATGGATATTATTAAAGGACAATTTGTAAAAGAAAAGCGAAATTCAAACCAAAAACCAATTGTAAATATCCAATTTACACTTAATCATGGCCTGATTTTCTACTAAAATATACTAATAGTTTATAAGAATTAAGCCATTTTCTGTTTAAATTTTTCATTTCCACGTTTAATTTAGTAAGAAATAAAAAAATATTCACATAACAAGATGATCCAGTGTATAAGATGCCTATGATTGCATATACTGTAAAATTACACACCTTTGACGTGTGCTGCTGCCAAAAACAGCCTGTCAACTGAAAATAAGGTAACTGGCTTCATCTCAGCCCCTTCTACATCCTTCTCCTCCACCTGTTGCAGAACTGATTCCAAAACATGCTGCAGACCGGTTTTGTTGTCGTCCTCTTCTCTCTTCAGTGGGTGCAAGTCTTTCTGAATATGACCTGCCTTTAAAATGGACTGATTCGCTGTCTGACCTGTGTGGTCCTCGGACAAATTTATGTTTGTTTTCGTGTGGATAACATTCTGGCTCTTTTGATTCACATCCTGATCCACAGTCGCCTGTCCCATCTGTTCATTGTCCTGTTTAATCTGTTGTGTCAGGTCTACACAACGCTCAGCAGGGTCAACGTTCTCCACAGTTTCAGGGTTGTTGATGCTGTATTTCGACTCCACAGCAGCAACCTTCTCATCCATGATGTTGACATTGTGTTCAGGCAGCACCACCGAAGTGCACTTTAATTTAATGTTTTGTTCTTTGTCCTTAACGTTCTCCTGTGTCGGCAAAGTGTGGTTCTCTGTCTTAGCAAACTCTGTATTCAGTTTCAACTTAAAGACATTCCCTTCATCAGTGTTTATCTCCTGCATTAACTCGGTATTTTGTCCTGATTTAACCGTATGCTTTGTTAAAGTGGCGGTCAGTTCCTCGTGGCTGTGATTCTCTTTCAGTTCTCCCTGTTCAGCTTTCTTGTCTACATCTCTGAAGGCAAGTTTGTTTTTCTCTGTGTGGCTTTTCATCTTCCCCGACACCTTTAACTCAGAGTCTATACTTTTCTGTTGTTTCTCTGTCTCTGAGCGTCTCTCTTGTGACGTTTGTATGCCTGTTTGTGCCTCCAAGAGCACATCCACTTGTGTCAGTATTTTCCATTCATCTTTCGTGCTGCCAGTATTTGTCAGTTCTTTCCCCACAGTCTCAATACGGTACGCTACTATTTCTGTCTGTGCCTGAACGTCTGTCTGTGACTCTGTCTGAGTCTGCACCCCCATGCCAATCTGTGTCTCAACTTCAGTCTGTGTCTCAACCTCAGAGTACCCCCTGTTTCTCCTCTCTGGCCCTTCATCACCTGGCTCATCGACCCTCGCTCCCTCTTCCTCCTCAGACACCAGCAGACACACCATTGGCTCCACCAGAGTTACTTCCCCTCCCAGGTTGCTGCTCAGGATGATGTCAGGAAACAGGAAGTTCTCGGGTTCGAGGGTAGGGTTTGTCACACCAGTGGAGACGGTCAACAGATCGTCCTCTGGGTCGTCGGGCAGGCTCGGTGAGTCACATTCACTCTCTTCGCTGGAGAGCAGAGGGGATCTCTCCGGCTCACCCTGGGCCTGTGCATCCTTGCACTTAAAGTAGTTTGACAGTGTGTGACAGCACTGAACTATATTTCCCATGGTGCCTTTGTGCACTAAATAGCAATGCAACTGTGCAGGTGGCCTAAGGGAGAAAAGACCACAGCGTTGGCAAAGGTTCAGTCATAATAAGCCATTAGGAGAAACTTAAAGGTAAACTAGGGTTGTTTACAAATTAGTAACCACTTCATTACAGATAAACTGAACAATTACCCTAAACAGTGAGGCGATTTGGATGAATTTTGAGCAGATTATTTGTTGTGAATATTGTATTATCTGTCTAAACTGTTTTAACAATCATACATACTTAATAGACTTCTCTCAGTATTCTCTTCTTATTGTTCCATTAGCTCTTTGGTGGTTTTAACTGCATAATTTTCTAATGCAGGATGAGGCTGTTTAGCAAAGCATGCAGACTCTGTGAATATAGCTTGTGTTCAGGTCCTTAACGTGCCCTTATCCTGTGAAAGTTTATGTCTTAAATTATAATCTAAAATTTAAAATGTAATTTAGTTTTCATCACAGAAATAAATTAAAGGCTTTCTTACACCCCCTAAAATCAAGAAGGCCTTGCAATCACCCCTGTGTAGCTCTGGCGACTCCTAGTGGGGGTCCTGACCCCCAGGTTCGGAACCACTGAAAATGGAGCCCACATTTGACCACACCCAGCCCACTGCTGGGTTGTTGTCAGAGGTGAAACTGACTCAAAACTTTCATCCAGAGAGGGCGACGAAACTCATATCTGCATATTCTGAACTAAGCTGCTGTGTATAAACAAAAGGCTCTGTCACTGTCACATGTGTGTGTCTGCGTGTGTGAATGCAAGTAGCTATAAGAGCCTTAGACAACAGCTGATGACAGGAAGATTATGAAGTGTTCCTGCAGGGGTGTCACCTTACAGTGGAACAGACTGGAAGTCCTCGGAGACTAAATCTCATCAGATGGACTCTGGAATGATGTTGGCCATGTGGGAATCCTGTAACACAGAGGAAAGGAAACGCTGAGTAGAGGCTCTAAATTACAGTTATATGTATATCTAAATCAGAACAGTAGAACACCCTAAATAGGCTAAAATGTGTTTTTTCAAATGAAAGTAACACAAGCTCATGAAAGCACAAAAGAGCAGCAGAGAACAGGTGTGCATTATCTCAAACTACAGCAGATTAAAACAGCATCAACATCACATTAGTGCAACCAGTCTATGGGCCCTACCTGCCAGTATAGAAAGATGGAGAGACTGCCAGTCTGTGACATCTTCTCCAGACTCATCTTCTGTTCATCCTGCTGTTTTCCCAGGCTTCCCTCTATTGCAGGAGGCTCCCCTGTCCTTGCTGCGAAAACCACGTTACACAAACTGTGTGTCAGTGCATGTGTGTGTGTGTCTGCCCTTCATGGGTGGAGAGGAGCTGTGAGAAAGCATGCAGGCCCTCTGTTCACACACACTTGCACGGTCACACACTTTTAGTACCCATCCAAGTCCAGAAGAGGGCAACCTCTCTGCCGTTCATGATGTAACTTCCTGTATTCATACCAGCCCATGCTCTCTCTATCAACCTTGAATGTGAGCACGTGCAGAAGGTGTATAAATAGCGGCAGCAGGAGGTCTGGCACCTCTTCATATTTTGCCATGACACAGCACACCCCTCCCGGAGCAGAAAGTCCAGGGAAAGAGACCTCCGGTTTCTCTGTCTCCGCTCACCCCTCACACACTTTCAGGCATGAGCTGGCTGGAACGCAGCTCTCCAGGTTGCCATGGCAGCGCTGCATAGAGACATTAACATTCTGAGCACGGTCTCCAAGACAACTGTGGGAACGTTCTAGAATGGGACGTTTTGCTAAGGTGTGTGTGTGTGTGTGTGTGTGTGTGTGTGTGTGTCAATGTCTCAGTGTATCCTCTCATGAATGTCAATAAAGTCCATAAATGTTCATTTGCATTTTTCACTACAGTGAAAGTAAAATTTGTTCATTTAAATTTCAATAGAAATAAAGTACAGCTCTCTTTTGGCCTTGTGAGTGCGTTCACCTCCACATTCAGTGGAATCCGATGGCATGTTGCAAATAAATCTGTGTGGTATAAAAGATGTGGATTGTTCAGACAGCAGATGAAGGACAGTCAGACTGTGAGTCATCACAATCTTCCTGTATACCTCCTCAGAGTCCTCTGGACCTCCACCCCCCTTCTTTCTTTTAATATTTCATTCTTTCTACTGTAAAAAGCCTACAAAATTCAGTGATATTGGTGTTTGTGTAGGAGTTTCCTTCTTTTACTTTCTTTGGCACCTTCAGCAATGAAGGCAGATCGGACCAGGTTTTAATCCTGGTCAAGGTTTGATTGTACTGCCACCCAGTGTAGGACTTAAAAAAGCTCTCCTAGAGTTGGTGAAAATGTTCAAGAGCCAGAAGTGGGCTGTGAACAGTTACGACGTGATAATGCTGACATGTAATACTGGTGAATGTTTGTATTATGTGCTTATTAGAGCAGATTATTCTCCTAATTATCAATCGTTTGGTCTACAAAACATCAGAAAATAGTCAAAAATGCCCATCACAGTTTTCTAAAGCCAAAAGAGGCTTAAAATATCTTGTTGTCTTTGACCAACAGTCCAAACCCCAAAGATATTCAGTTTACAGAGATAAAAAACAGAGAACAGAGGCAAACCCTCTTATTGGAGACTACTGATTGACAACTAGATTATTTGGCTAATTGTTTTTAGTTCTTGTACAATCTGAGTAATAACTGTGAAAGAAAATTAGAAAAGAGAAGCTGAAAGAAACTAGTCATAACATCTTTGTAATAGCCACTTTTAAATATCAACAGGCCTTTGTTTCAGCAGATATCTTAACATGTCACAGTAGGGAAAGCACAAGTGTAACTAATACAATTAATGATGCATGGCCAAATGACATTCATCTGCTTCAGTTTCAGGGTCCTGGTATCATGCATGCTGCTTCACTGTCACACTGTCATGACTCACTAGGACCCTTGAACAGAACCATCGTTATTATTATTACTGCTTTTTCCTACCAGCGAGTAAAAAATATCTGCAAAACATCTGCAGAAACACTGAAAACAAGACAACATGACACCAGGAATACGTCTCTGCCTTTACCAGGCACATTGCATGAATTTTAATAAAGTGCAAATCATACAAAACGTCCCTTAAGCCTTCTAGAGTGACTTTCCAAAACCTGGAATACGGCTTGTGCAGTGAAAAAGCAGGTTGCCATTTTTGAAGTTCGCAGACCCAGAGGCAAGGCTACTAATTACAGGCAAAAGCCGTGATCGACAGTGTTGAAATCAAAAGGCATCCATATGAAACAGTCTTTTTTGACCCACTCATTTCTTCACATTTTAGTACATACTGTACCAATCGATGTGACAAATTCAGTTAATACGTCTATGTGTAGGTTGGATCACACACTCTTGTGCAACTAGCTCTAAATATCTAACTCACTCCCTGAAATCTACAGACAATCACAAGGTTAAATCTCTCTCCTCTTAAGTTTTTTTTCCAAGAATAACTCGATCGGGATGTTGATCGATGTTGGCCCGAGACCTGCTGGAAGACAATTTTGCCTTTTATTATCTTCATCACAGAGCAGTTTCTCCCTCTCCCGCTCCCATGTCCACCCTCCTGTGTACCCTGCTGTCCTCTATATCCTCCCACTCGTCCTCCAGCCCGTCTCCGTCTTGCGTTCTGATTGGTTGGTTCAAGCGAAGGAGGCGGTATCTAAGCGGCACCAAGAAGAGGGCGGGGTCCGGCATGGGGTGTGGCCTCTGTGGCGATGTCACTCTCTCCTGTGGGACACAAGCTCTGACCCTCTCCTCCCTCACAGTGACACGCCTCTTGTGTCTCACTTCTGATTGGCTGGGAGAGGCTGGAGGAGGCGGAGACAGAAGCCAGTCTGAGTCCTCCCCTTCATCCTCTTCATCCTCTTCATCCTCTTCTTCCTCTACTTCTTCTACCTCCTTTCCTCTGGGTTCCTCCTCTCCCTCTGCAGCAGACTCTGTGCTCTGCCGTTGCTGGAACAGTTTTAAGCGTGCGGTGTGGAGCTCGTGGCAGAGACTCGACGTGATAACATTTTGCCGTTGCAGCTCACGACTCAGCAGCGTGATCTTGTGGCTACGCCGTTTCAGTTCCTCCAGGAAACACCGCTCTTCTTCCCTGAGGCTCCTTCCGAGCGCTGAGGCCCGTGCCCGGCCGGCCCGCAGTTCCCCACGCGCAGCGACCATCATGCACTGCTGGTCCTCTAGGAGACGCTCTGCGGCCTCACAACGTGCTGCCAGCTCTGCTTCCTCCTCTGAGAAACAAACATAAACACACTGAAGTGGACTGAAGTATAAATACACATTACACAAAATAGTGTAGATGTTTTTTCTTTCCACTGTGCCTTTCTGTGCTCCTTTACTTATTTTATCAGCACAACGTTGCTGGAAAAATAAATAATACAGAAATTTACATTAATTTTACTTCTCTGTGATTTAGGACAATTTTTGCTTATCTTTTGCAGAATTAGTTCTAATCACTTCACTTCAATGTAACCTCATAAAATGAAGGCCTCATTTAATATCACAGATGCAGATGAAACGATATTACTTGCAATAAACACCATTTAAACATTATTATTATATTATTATTATTATTATTAGTAGTAGTAGTAGTAGTAGTAGTATCGTAGATAGACCAATTAATTGGCCGGCCAATTATCTGGCAGTTTGAGACAATAAAAACAAAAACTGTCTGCGGATACATCTGCAAGCAGCCTTGTCAGTGTGGCTGCTGTGGAATTGTGTTAGCGTTGCCCTTTGTGAGTTTTGGTGGCTTTGTGAGCCCTGTGCGATAACTCTCATGCATCCTGCCGTAAACGTTTGCCTATATTTCCTCAATCACCATCGTCTTTTCTAAATGTTAACACTTTATCCCATCCTAAAGGACAGCTAATCCATTTAAAACAACATGTTATACTATTTATTTTATATTATCTATCTATCTATCTATCTATCTAGTCTACTAATGCACATAGCAGGTTTGTTTCTAGAGCGTTTTCTCTAGTATATTGTTATCATGACGTGTCCTATCACACATAACTAATGGCCTGGTCCAACTTTTTTCTCTCCCAATACTGATTCTAATACTTCAACTCAGAGTATCTGCTGATACTGAGCACAAATCCAGTACCAGAGGTCTGGTATCAGTGTTAACTTACAGAATGGACCTTCTGGTTGATAATTTGTATGTCAGGCAACATAATTTATAGGATGCGGTGACACAAAGAAACTGTATGTGGATCGATTATGTCAGGGATGATATTTGATCTGCCTCATAAAGTCAGTATCATTGCAGCTACAGATGCATCCCTATTACTAACAAATATAATACAATATAATATATATATAATATAATGTTTATAATATTTAATAAATCAAGAGGTTAAGCTCCATTTACTGTACTAATGTTGTATCGTGCCTCGTCATTGCACCACTTTCTGTCATGAGGTCCTTGTGAGTTTCCACTACCTCTGCACAGCCTTTGTACTTTCCTCTCCATAATTAGGATACAATTTCGGCATCTCCCACATCTCATTTTCCCTCTTGTCAGCAAGGAGTTGTAATGTCTTACCTTCTGTGTTTCTGTCAGGAAACCTGGAGTCCAGCTCACAGCTTAGCTCTACAGCCAAGAGGAGGACACACAACAGGCAGACAGGAAGAGATAAGACAGACAGGAAGCCAATTGGTTAAGAGACACATAGAGAGATGGAGAGCAGCAGGTCACCAGTAGACTGACCATGACAGCGCCTCTTCAGGTGTGTGATCTCCAGCTGCAGACCGGTCAGCATGGCCAGGTGCTCCTGCTTCAGGAAGGCAATGCCTCTGTCCACACTGGCCACCTGCTGCTCCAGCCTCCCGGCATCCATGGCCGAATCCCCACACAACCTGCACACAGATGCTGGTAGCTGTATGACTTAGGATAAGGGGGTTTTCCCTGTGCAGTATGTTTACATTACAGTAGAGACCCAATTTGAGCTCTGATAGAACACTGCTTGGATATTAAGTGTTAATTCAATGGAAAACAAATAAAATATATTGTATTTATAAAATTAGAGTGATAAACCATCAGTTAATCTGCTCAATAGTAAGATTATATTATTTTTATTGTGATATAACACCACTGACATACATTTATGTGCTTTTCCCTGCAACATTTATAGCCTCATTAGGTAACACTCTTGTAATCTTATTTGCAGAATGCCTACACTCTCTCATTTGATCTATTTCTGTTTGATTTGTCGCCCATTAAAGCCTCCTGACGGCTGCACCGTTGGTCACTAGTGCTCAGCGTCTACCTGTAACTGTGGCCTACCGTGATACTGAAGCGGTATCCTATTCAAAGCGTCTGTCATGGATCCTCGTATCGCCCTGGTATCTCTGTCCTTGATGCAGCAGAGATGGAGAAAACAAAAGACCCGTGCAAAACGTCCGGTGCGGAAAAAACGTCACTTTCTCCGTCTCTGTCCCCCTTTGCTCTCTCAGGTGAGCGGCGTCAACGCTGCAGCTGTTTGTTTCTCAGTGTGAATGGATGCTGCTGCAGTCAGGAGTCGGAATAACCTCCTCATAACCTTCTGGTTTGTACGCGCAATACGGTGCCGCTGCTGTATTCACAACAAAGCAGCCCGGTATGAGGGGAGATAAGTGCCACGATGCAGGAGGAAGAGGAGGAGGAGGAGGAGGAGGGGCTCCATGGAAATGATGGTGCCAGCTGTTGCCAAAAAGAAAGGGAATACGATTTTTTTTTTAATTCCCTGAAATAAGAAGGGCTTGTGTTTTAGATTTAGATTGAATTTTATCAATCTTTTGGAAGTGTATGCATCATATGATTAATTTATTTATTTTGGAAGTAGTATTCAGATGCTTCACATTAATAAAAGTACCAATAGTGTAAAATATAAAATGTTACAGTTAGAGTCCTGGATTCATATTATTATTATTAGCAAAATGTACTTAAAAGTATTAAAAGCAAAGGTTGTCATTATGAAGAGTGGTCCCTTGCAGAGTTAAAATTATTTCATGTTGTTAATTTATTATGATTATATAAAGTGTTAACAGAATTTTTATTTATCAGTCGGTCAATGTGGCCTCAGTTTTAAGTGCTTATTGATAGTTTACTCAATAATGATGCATTATATTTGATAGTGATTATGTTTAAAAATCCTTATTTGCAAAATAACTAGATGTCAAATACATGTTGCTGAGAACAAACTACCATATTTCCTCTGAAATGTAGTGAAGTAGAAGTATTATGTTGCACAAAATGGAAATACTTAAGTAAAGTAAGTTTCACTTACAGACTCACCTTTAAAGAAAATTCTTGCTGTCCTCTAAAAGATGGCGCTGGTATTTAGATTATTATTATTATTTTCATTATTGATTGATCTGCCAATTGTTACTCTCAACTCTACACCATTATTATTTTTAAATGTCAGGCAATAGTGAAACATATGTTGTTTGTTCCTATGCTCTCGAATCATAAACCATAATAAAGGTATTTTCATATTAAAATGCAGTAAATTAAAGCATCATATATTCCATCATATTGAATATTAGATCAATCACACATTCAGGTTGATTTTATTTGTTCTGTGTGGTGCTTTGTGACATACTGATTATAAGACATCATCCCTATACCAGTGTAATCTGGCCATCATCATAAATTATACACAAATACATTATTTTTAGGTACACAGCAGGTAGAATTAAATAGTTTTTTTCATTGTTGCCATCTGTTTCCTGTGAACTGGTCGACGAGGCTAAGCCTCTGCTTGCTGCCACCATGTTTCTCACTCATGCTGGGAAGGGGAAAAGGCTCAGTGTGCGGAGAGGTCTCGTAGTAAGGACAGACTTTTAGATGAGCAGATATAGGAGGGATGTCGGCCATGTGCCATGAATCCACTGCAGTGAAGAGCTGACTGAACTCCCATACCTGGAGAGAAACAGGAGGAGAGTCAGGAGGAGAGAAAAATATGGATCACAGTTTCATACACATTTCATATGTATATCTCACAGGTTTAGCCTTCCACTTGGCTCCACCATGGGAGTAGGTCTTCCTCTCCCAGCGGAGGGTGACCATCCCTCTCTCTTTCAGCAGTGAGGAGCACACCTCCCTCATGAGCCGAGACACCAGAGCCAGCTGGGACAGGGACAGACTGTCCAGGAAACTGGCCATGTGGCACAGCACCTCATAGGGCAGCGAGCTCAGATAGCCCTCCCCTCCTCCTGCCCGACCTCCTCTCTTCCTCTGAGCAGTGGAGGAGACCGCTGAATTTCCTGGTGGCTGGGTGGGGTCACCCACTGAGTCTTCAAGTGTCGGACGCAAGTTGAAACTCCTCAGCTGCTGGCTTGAGGGATGAAAAGAGGATTTAAGAACATCAGAATCATTGTGTTTTTGTTATCTTAGAATGAACTGTTTTTATCTACAGAGGGAGCGGGTCCTCTTGTATGGAGGCCGTCATGTTGAATCACAATATTTCCACAGCAGTTCAGAAGGGACAAACCAAACACTGGCTCTAGATAGGCCATTTTGTGTAATTTGCGCATTTCATGGCCACTGTATTTTCTCCTACTTGCTGAGCTGTATTCAGATAGTTGCAAGCTGCAAGTTCCCCACTAGATACCATTAAATCCTACACACTGGTCCTTTAACGTTCATTTGGAGCTGTGTTTCTGGTCACCTGATGAATTTAAGCCCAGTATTCACTTAGTTTTAGCTCTGTTTTGGTCTCTACCAACTCTTCAGGTAAATCTCTGTCTCTTTAGCTGCTAAATGCTCCTCTGTGTTCACCAGATGGTCACTTACTGTGTCGTTCTGCTGTTTGGTGCTGAGCAGGTAGTGTATAGTAGCTTTTTAGAGCTTTTTACATGAAAACAGCTGCCTACTGCAGCCAAAAACAACAGTAGGAGAGTGATGAGAAAGAACAAAAACAGTAAAGCTCAGGGGCCGGACAGATAAACAATAAACTGAAACTCACTATAAAGCTCCATAAAGCCAAAGAGAAGTGCAGATTCATAATGCATTGTTATTATAAAAACACTGATTATAGACACTTTAAAATGTTGGGGAAATCTTAAAATACAAATTGTACACAAATATTTGAAACTGGACTGATGAATGTAAGTTGTGCTCACTTGTAGGAGACAGTGGCTTTATGTGTGGAGGGCTGAAACCTCCTCTGGCTGTAGGTGCATCCAAGATACGATAGAGGGCATCTCTGCTCGAACCATCCACTCAGAGACGTCTGGATGTCACTGTGGACGTTTCTGGAAAGGAAATGACGATTAATACGTAAAAGGTGCTTATAACCAAGCCTTTTGCAACTGGTGAACGAATGAAAAAGAGAAGAGACTTCATGCTTAGTCAAACAAAACCACATCAGTAGCATTCACAGACACCTGAAATGTGTGGCGAACTCTCTGCGGTGGAAGGCGTGACCACAGAGGAAGGTGAAGACACAACTGGCTCTGCTGTGTCTGCCGCTCACCCTCTCTGCCTGCAGCTGAAGATGAAGCTTCAGTGGCCTGTCCACCATCACGTCCGCCAGGGTCGTCTTCCCTTTAAACGGAGCCGAGCGGAACGAGTGCGTCTGCGTTCCCACGTCAACATAGAGCCCATCAGTTCCCTTTGACGCGCTGATCTGCATGGAAAATAAAATACTATGAACTTATTGTTCTCACTTCCTTGGTAACTATTCAGCATTTTGTTTATCTCATTGTAAAATGTTACAAAAAGTATAGTCTACATATTTCAGGAAACACTCATGTAGCTTTACTTAATTCCACTTTCATCTCTCTCATCTGGTCATGTTTTTATATTAAATACTGTCATAAATATCTGGCTGACCTTGTGACCCATGACCTCCTCCTCGGCGTGGGCCAGCAGGGTGGTTGCTGCTTCATCACTGAACCAGTCCTCTTCGCTGGCTCCTAGGTCTGATGTGTCCACACTACGAGGCTCACTTTGTGCCCGCGCAGCCGTGTCGTACAGATGAACCCGCTGCCTGTAGTGATAGCTGTCAGGGACCTTATAAAAGGGATACAAGAGAAAATGTTACCCCAGAAGCCAGGAGAGTACACTGAACGCATCTGTTGTACGTTTTTATAAGGTCAGGTTGACTTGTTGATGCTTATTTTAAAGCTCCATTCAGCCGCTTTGGACATTGCATTTGTCAGCACAAGCCAACTGTCTTTTAAAGCAACATTATGTAACTTTTCTGCCTTAAAATAACAGCTTCAAAATCCTTTTGTTATCATAGCAAATTAAGTGGACATCTGTCCATATTTACGACAGTGGTGTATAAGTGAGTTGTACTCTAAAACTGTAGGGGTGCCAAATCACCAGTTCTTACATAATTTTTGCTTTAAAGGCCACTGAAAGGAGGAGATTCATATCAAACGATGTGCAGTTTACAGGATGTCGGTAATTGTAACTGTGACTGCCTGTGCTGTGAATACATTTATAGACTCACTCTGTGTCAGCAAAAAAACAAGAACCAAAAACCATTGTTTAGGAGAACCTTCTACAGTACAGTATGCAATAGCCTAAGATATTTTCTGTTGCATTACATCTTGAAAACACCACACTCACACAGATGAAGCAGATTAGCTAAATTTCGAATACTGATACTTTACTTTAATATTTAAAATGAGGGGCTTTAATGTTGTTGAGTGCAGTTTTATCTGGGTGGAGCGCTTCCATTCTTAAATATGCTTTAACAGAAGCTTACATCACTTTGGTTGATTTTATTATTTTACAATAAATAAATGTAGCTTGAAATCATCACCTTGAAAGAGCGCAGGGTCTGGACTGGGATGGGCTCCAGGCTGCCATAGACAAAATCCTTTTCCCTCGGTGTACAGGCCTGGATATGTCCGAAGTTGAGCAGCATGCGGCCATGATGCACCACATACATGGTGTACTCCTGCGGGCTGAGGTCTGTCCTTAGACGCTCCAGCACTCCTTCCTGCCACGGGGCATGCCCTGTTGCGTCTGTTGGGGGGCAGTTTTGGGGATCAGCCTCACCATCTTTCCCTGTGTCTTTGTGGTCGGCACATGTTTCTTTAACCCCGCCATCCTGCCTCTGGGTCTTCACCTTCTCACCAGGTTTTGGGTTTTGTTTGGGATTGTTTTGGTTTGCCTCAGCGACAGCACAGCCACCTCTCTCCATGCTGAACATCATCTCAGACATGTTGTATTTCTCTTTGCTGAAGCTGAAGTCTTGCCCCACACTGCTCTGCACTGTCTCTTCAACAAGGTTGCACAAGTGGGGAGGTTTACAGGAGAAATGTTAACACAATAGATGAGGGAAGAAGAACAGAAGCCGTATTATTTTGTATATTTAAAAAGATACACTTTTGAAATATTGGTCATTACAAGTTATATTATATATGTGTCTGTAAAGACTTTTGTTCCAAGAATAGTGTATGTTAATAACATTTTCCTGATTGGTGCACATACTGACATCACATTGTTGCTGAGCCCCGCCCACTTCAAACTGGTGAGAGGAGCTCAGAGAGAAAAACAGAAATATCTTGTGTGAAATAACCAACATTTTTCTCAATTCCCAAGATTGTGTATTAATTTAAGTCCACCTCACTTATAGAAAAGGGCTGATAAAATATTTACAGGTTTCAGGCTTTCAGGGCCTTTAAAGTGACTCTTAACTCTATCAATTACTCATAATGGACCAGGCATAATTTCCCAGAAGAGGCATCTTTTAAAATGTGGTCATCTCATGTTGTACCAAAACAGCACTTTAATTTACCTTCATTAATATCTTCGTTTGTGAAACCATTGACAAACTCTCCAGTTGCCGTCTCCTCTTTCTTCTCATCCATTATTTCCTCCTCTTCTGCCTCCATCAGCTCTGGATAGAGCGGCTTCATTTTTAGGCGCCCATAAAGCTCTGACTGATCAACCAGAGCCATGGCGAGATCCAGAGCCTCCCCCTGCTGCTCATTTTCCTTTATCACATTCTCCTGCAGGGCTATGTTGCTGTGTGGGTTTGTGTCATCGGTCGGCCAGCGGAGCCACTCCATGGAGCAACACACCACACTGGCCGGACACACCTGCAAGTGAGCTGCCTGCGAGGAGCGAAGCAGGTGCACCGGGCAGCCGTACCCAGCGTTGAGGCAGGGGACCCTCACGTTAGGGCAGAGCAGCAGGTGATCCTCCTCTTTGCACAGGTGGAAGATAGCTCCACAGAGCAGACGGCAGGGGATGACTGCACAGCACACAGAGACCTCCACCCGCGCCCTGCAGCGCCGGCTGTAGCAGGAGTCACAGTGGACATGCTGTCGCACCCTGGAGGCTCGAGAACGATGACTCTGATTGGATGAGAAAGAAAAACAGTGGAGCCAACTAGGATGAAAAAATAATTAAGGAGAAAGCTGTCAGAGAGCTAAAGCATATCAATTATTGGTACATCAAGGCTGTATAATGCTTAATCCTTACTTCAACCCCAATAATTATAACTGTAAAGTCGGTGACTCACCATTTCAGATGTTTTATAATACTGCAAGAGAAAAACAGAAAATTGACATATATTCATAATCTGTAAAATGATGTAACGTGATCCCCAACCTGTTTGGCCTGTGACCCCTGAAAACAAAACAATGTCACCAGCAGTCGCACATGTCAACCAAAGAGTGATATTTGAATGATTTTTAAAGGCCCGAAATAGCAAAATTATCTAGTAATTCTCAAAATGTTTAGGGTAGCTTGGGGTATTTTTCTTTTGGTTTCCTAACCTGTTCTCTCTTGACCCCCTAAATGAGCACAATACAGTATAAATCTAAGTTAACTGAACCCCCAGGATGGGAACCAGTGATATAGGCCACACAACAAATCAGCAGCACATTTTGCACTGATGCAACAACAACAACTTGTCCTTCATGCACTGTGAGCATAACACAAATGTTCCAAAGCACTCATTCATCAGTTGAATGTCTGACAGAAAAAATCTCAACGGTAATCGTATGAGCACTAAAAAAGAAGAATTTAACTTCTACAGTTGTATCACGAGTTGTTTCACTGTGCTGCAATTTAAATGAACACAAATAGACATTATCAAGGCATTTCAACTCATTCACAATGGGATCAAACCTTATCTGGACAAAGGTCTTACCAAGGTGCCACCGCAAGACGTGTTTCCTCTCTAAGGGTTTATAGTGTTGCGTTCGGTCTCTCGTGCTCTTTGAACTGGCAGGTTAAAATTAGCCAAGAAGCCCCCAAGTAGCTTCAGCAGGAGAAATAACTCCCCCTCAGTTTCTCACTCTGCTGCAGTGGATTCAAGTCACAGCCAAACCTCATCTGAAATCTCCTCATTCTGGGGAGGAATTAATGTGTCTATGGAGAATACACAGCTAATCTTCTTGTTAGAATGACAGAATGACATAAAATACACACTGGCTGTGTTTTGGTTACACTTAAATTAAACACTAGAGGTCAAGACTCAGCCTCATTTTGCTCGCCGCAGGTTGAAATCAATTCTACTCAGGACCACAACATGAATAAAAGGGAAGAAGGTAATTTCCTGATGTAAGTGCCTGAGGGGGCTGGTAACCCAAACCATGTTACCGACCACCTGTGTAACATTTCTCTGTCAGTGCTCAGCTCTATTTATAACACAGACACACACTTGTCAGACACTTTGGTCTTTAAAGCACGGCATGTGAAGGAGCGTTCACAACTCTTACAGCGGTAGGCTAAAGACTGTAATTCACTCTTCCCATTATGCCAGAGGACTCTGCTGGTTTCTCACCATTGTGTGTTTACATTGTACAGCTGATTGTATTGTGAGACTGTGTGATTCATAGTTTCTTCTCTGTTTGCAGGACAGACCTCCAGCTTCAAATAAACCCTGGTGCCAGAGGATCTGAAGCATGGTATGGTTTCATTTTGCAACTCTAAGATCAAATGGACAGTTTTCTCCTGAAGTAGCTTTAAGTTTGTTAAAAAGCATCTTCATCTCCACATCCCATTTATCATATGCAGAATATTCTGTTTTGGTTTGTGGTTGATGTTGAAGAAAGTTAAATTTTTATGGCTGAACTATTCCATCAAATGGAAATACTGTGGAAATCTTTTGCATCATTTATACACAAATTCATCAAATTCAGCCTGACATATTTGTTATCTTTAGAAACTTTGAGAATCTCCTCCAGACTTTAAATTAAAGATCTGTTGGTTTGAACTATGTTTGAACCCACCTGTGGGTCAGTGAAGTTAACAGAAACACAAAAGTAAAATGGAAATGTATTATGTTACTATTCTATGCTTTCACTAAATTAGTTTAAAATAAAAACTGCTGATTTAGTGTCTTTTCTTTATTCTGATAAACCCAATCAGAGTCATCGTTCTCGAGCCTCAAGGGTGCGACAGCATGTCCACTGTGACTCCTGCTACACCCGGCGCTGCAGGGCGCGAGTGGAGGTCTCTGTGTGCTGTGCAGTCATCCCCTGCCGCCTGCTCTGTGGAGCTATCTTCCACCTGTGCAAAGAGGAGGACCACCTGCTGCTCTGCCCTAATGTGAGGGTCCCCTGCCTCAATGCTGAGTACGGCTGCCCGGTCCACCTGCCTCGCTTCTCGCAGGCAGCTCACCTCCAGGTGTGTCCGGCCAGCGTGGTGTGTTGCTCCATGGAGTGGAACCGCTGGCCGGCCAACGACGCCCATTCTTATCCAAACACAGAGCTGCATGAAAACCTGCTGATGGAAAGAGAGCAGGGAGGATGTCTGGACCTGGCCATGGCCCTGAAAGACCAGGACCGCCTGTTTCACTCCTTGAAGATGAGGAGACTTTTCCCAGAGCTCATCCAGAGTGTGGAGGAGGAGGAGAAAGAGGAAGAGAGGAGGGAAGAGGAGAGGAGGAAGCAGAAAAAGGCTGCAGCGAAGGCAGCTGAAAAGGAAACGAGAGGTCACACCTGGGAGTCTTTTAACAAGTTTGACCTCCATAACCATGATGAGAAAGATGATGAGGAAGAAGATGAGGTTGAGGTAGAATATGAGCAGGAGCTAACACAGGAGGAGAGAGAGGCTATAGCCATAGGCTCGGGGGTGAATGCTGATCTGTTAGAAAACTACAATGCCTGGGAGCGCATGTTCAGTATGGAGATGGGTGGCTGCAGGGAGACTGAAGGGGCAGCTAGTACAGGCATAGACCAACAGAGACTGGCTGCAGGGAGAGGAAAGGGCCTGGCCACTCTGACAGAGGAAGATACAGCAGATACCTGTATGGGTGCCACAGCATCAGACACCTGCAGACAGGTGAGCAGTGCATGCATGGCTTCCTCGACATCCTCCGCCGCCTATCTCGCTGGAAAGCTGAAGACATTTGTGTACGGACATGTGGAGCCGATGAAGATTATCACTGTGCGTACCTTTAAAATCCCAACCAGCTTCTCTGCCAGGCAGGGCCGCATCCGCAACCCTGGTTTCTACAAGAAGGAGAGTCAAGCTGTGGACACCAGCGACCTCGGGGTGGCGCTAGAGGAGATGCCAGTGTGGGAGGAAATTCAGGTAAGAGAGAGAAATTCATCCTACTTATATGCACTTATTGTTATTATGAAGTTTTACCTGAGTTTTGGTCACTTGGGGGCAGTCTAAACAAGCTGAGAACATAATGCTGACATATCATCACTTTATAAAGTTAAAGTCACAATTTCTTTAGTTTAGTTCAGAATCAGAAATACTTTATTGATCTCTGGGGGGGAATGTGTTGTGCTAAAGTTGCAAGACATTAAAGAAATATAAATAAACAATACATTTTGGTCTCCACCATCTCCTGTGGGAAATATCTGTCTCTCAAGCTTCTCTTCATATGTTGATTTACGGCGTGCAGGTAGAGTACAGTAAAGTCTGCGGCCAATAAACCAGAACAATGAGTTGAAAGATGCTACAGAGCTGAGAAGAAGTGAGTTCTGACACTCATTGCTATGAGTGACACCCCTCACATTACACAATTATTTCATCTATTGTTTTAAAAAAAAAAGATTATAACCCTTTAAATGTCTCATGAGCGTGGGTTTTCCTTAGAGACGGTCAAGCCAAATTGTATTACACATCTATATATATATTTATATATATCTTATTTACATGCTGCAGAAGAATTTTATTGACAAATACAAAAAGTGCTGGAATAATTAGTCTATTAATCAATTTGTCAATCAACAGAACTTTAATCAACAACAGTTTTTCATAATAAATCTGTTATTTAAGTTCTAAAGAAATCAAATAAAAAGTTCTTTGGGTTTTTGAGTGCTGGTTGGAAAAAGTAATTTGAAGATTGTTACTTTGGGCTCTGGAACATTGTAATCTAATATTTTTAACATTTTATAGATCGAATATTTTGTGGGAGAATATGAATATGATGATGGAATTGCCTGTTTTCATCATACAGATAATCTTCTCCATTAAAGTTTTTTTCAACATCTTGAATCTATTAATTGAAGAAATAATGAAGCCATATTTAAAACAGGACACCATAATTTGCACGTTTTAAAAGAACATTTTAACATTCAGATACATCAGTTTACTTGTTCAGATGAGTTCAGTGCCATCATTATTCATCATTATTCCTCAGGCTTCCCTGCTGTGCTCACTAGAGAAGGAGCAAAGGGGTCACCTTATTGCAGAGAGCGTATGCACAGATGGTCTGTTACAAGATGAAGGCACACAGACGTACAACTTCCTGTCTGCTCCTTTCCGGAGAAACACGTCGCTGGCTGACCTGACCGCCACAAAACCGCTGGAGCTGAACCTTCAGCTGCAGGTGGAGAGCGTCACCAGCCGACACCACAAGGCCAGCTCCGCCTTCACCTTCCTCTGTGGACACACCTTCCAGCGCAGAGAATATGGCAAACATTATAAGTTGGTTCCTGCTTTTTTCGAATCTGTATTTTTTTTCCTGCATGCATGGGGATGTAACAATTTTTATTAGTGTCCCAAAATATTAAGTTCCTTCATAAAGGAATCAAGTCAGATATGGGAAAAAATTCCAATATCAATCCAAGTTTGTGTTTAAACTTATACTAGATCATAACACAAATGGTTTATAAAGTACTTCTATTATCATTGTTGTTACTTTATTCTGTAGAAATCACTGACCCAATCTGATTTGTCCTAATGCATTAAACACCACCCGTCTAATACTCAGTATGTTGTCATGTGCAGGAACATCCACAGCGACATCCAGATGGGTGTGAATGGATGGTTTGAGCAGAGATGTCCCCTGGCGTACCTGGGATGCACCTACAGCCAGAAAAGGTTGCAGCCCTCCACACATGAAGCCAATGTCACCTACAAGTGAGATAAAACTAATAGTTCATCTTTATTATTGTGTTAAAAGGTCCAATTTCAGTTTCAACATTCAGCAATGGTATATAGTATTCATATGTATGTTTTCATTTCATTGAAAATAAGAGCCGTTGTGATTTTGTTACCTTAGGTTACATGTTGAATTGCCATTTTTCTATATTAACCCAGAAGGGACAAACCAAATGCTGGCTGTGGATGTGGCCTTTCGCTGATTTTACAGCCACCGTAGTTTCTCCTTCATGCTTGGTTTCAGTTGGTTGCAATCTGCAGTCTCACCGCTAGATACCACGAAATCTTACACACTGGTCCTTTAATTAGATCAGTAAACTGATCCATTGTTATTATAAAAAGATTGATTACAGCAGATTTAAGTTTTAGTGTCACTTTAAAGTTGCATTTAAGAATCTACAACTTTATCTACAAATCAAACTCAAAGGGTGACTTTTTAAGCACCTTTACACATAATAGTGTGTACATACACGTGTGTACTACTACTATATGTGTGAAACAAGATATATATATATACAGCCTTTTGTGACTCCAGAGTGAAATCTAATGTCAGTTGGGTCTTTAGACTACAAATTTAGGCCACCAGCTCAAGGCTACATTAGCTACTGTTAGCACAACACAGCTGAATATCCCACCAAGCTGTTGGCAGTCACGTTGCATTGTGGGCAATGTAGGCACCAGGTTTTGACAAGGTAGAAGAATGTGTGAAATATGTTTTTTGTTGTCTATTGTGAGTTCGACAGTGTTATACTGTAGTGAGTGTAGTGCTCTTTTAACCAATACTGCGAAGGATCGACTTCTTTCAAACAAAGCAGAAAGAGTGGTGAATTAGACCTGAAGTCCTGTATAGTTGCATCCTTTCACCTTTAGCACTGCCCTGCATTACAGAGCC